TTCATCTCTGTCCATACCTCCTTTATAAACTGCTAGAAGTGTCAAAATCACAGTCTTACGTTCCTCCATATTTGCAGAAGTTTGTATTTAAGTAGTTTGTCTGTACAGTGAATGTGTTCAACCCTCCTTTTTTTTTTTTTTTTTTTTTTTTCAGCCTGAGTACATTCTTCTAGTTAAAAGGGAAAAAATACTCTGTGCTCATCTCCTGCAGACCTATGTTACTGTTTTGATGCACGTTTTTCAAGTGTCTTGAAAGTATTTCAGTTACGTGCTTCTGAGATGATCTCCCACCGCATAAACTTCTGTTGTGGAGAAACCTCTGAAGGGGTGCTGGCCTTTGTAACATTGATCTTGTTTTGCACTTTTGCTGCATCCTAACAGCAAAGGCATGCCTGTGTTAGTGAAGCTGAGGAGCAGCCCGAGGGAAGTTACTGTCTCTAGTAGGCAGCAGTCGGTACAAAATGTTGGTGTGCAGGTATCTGGACCTTGGTGTCAGCCTGCTAACGCTGATGCCTTGACTTCCTGGCACTGTTGTGTATCTGTCCTTTCATAATGGCTGCAGTGTTGTAAAATAAAGATCCTTAACTGAAAAAAAGGGAGTAGGGGTGCTTCATGGAGGTGCTCACCTGCAGCCGTGCTGCATTTTGGTGGGAATTCCCTTACGGTTCAGCGTTTTGTTTTAGTGGGCTGATTCTCAGAAGCGCCTGGTTTACAAAGCGTGATTTTTCTCGAGGTATGTGAAGGACCGCCAGCCTGGGCGTGGTGCACTTGGTGAGGTGCCGGCACGGAAAGACTCGGGTGCAGACTGTGCTAAGCCAGGTTTTGGTCGTTAACTGGTTTGCCTCACCTCACAGGTGATGAGGTAAACCGGGGCCGTGGTTTGACAAGGCTGCGTTAGCTGCGGGGACGTCACGGGGTGCTCGGCAGCGGAGGGTTAGGTTCCGATTTGGTGAAAACTTGCACGGACGGTCGGGGACTAAGGGCGATCCCGGCCTTCGCGGTACCTCCGAGACTGAGGATTTCCCCGGGGAGGCGGGCGGTGCGGGTACCGGCGTCCGTGTCTCGAGTGAGTGGGAGGCGGGTGCGCCTTGCCCTCGCAGCGGGGAACCTTTTCCCGGGACAGCGGCGGCAGCCCGTGCCTTAACGCTCCCCGGCGCTCAGGCTGCGTCCGGGCTCCGCCGACCCCGGGGCTCTGGCTCTGTCCGGCCCCGGGCGCGTCCCGCCGGCGCCGCCCCGAGGCCGTCGTCTGCCAGCGCGGGGGGCGCCGCCGGGCCCCGGGCCGGGGCCGGGTGGAGCGCTGCAGCCGGGCGCCTCGGGGTCGGGGAGGGGGGGAGTGGGGCGGCGGCGGGGCCTCGCCACAGCGGCGGGACGCTGCGCCCCCGCTCCGCCTTCCAGAAGCTTCCCCGCGCGCGGCGCTGCGCTGCGCCGGGGCGGGCGCCGGGGCCGCCGCGCGCGGCGCGGGCCACGTGACGGGCAGGCGGGAGGGAGGGAGTGGAGTGGGGTGGGGCTGGGGGGGGGGGGGGGTTCGGGACGGGACGGGACGGGGGGGGCGCGAGCTGGCGGCGCGCCTGCGCGCGCTGCGGCGCGGTGACGTCACCGCGGTGCGCACGCACGTTGTCCCCAGCTGGCGGACACACGGTCCGCGTGAGGAGAAAGGAAGCGGGGAGGCCGCCTCGCCTCGCCGCACGGTAACTGCCGGGGAGCGGGGGGATGGAGCGGGGTGCGCCGGTGACCGGCGCCGCGCGCCTCTCCCCCCCCCCCCCCTTTCCCCTCCCCGCGCCTCCCGCTCTGCCCTCCCGAACTGCGAAAATTAACACCAGGCGTAGCCACGAGGCGACGGGGCCCGGGCCCGTGGGCCTCTCCCCGGCGGCGACGCGAAGCGCCGTCTTCGCGAGCGCCGGGTGGGAGCGCGTCGGGTGCCGGCGACGAGCGGCGGGGCTTCCCCCCACGTGCGCCGGACCCGCTGCCCTCCGCCAGCCACCCTCAGGCCGCGGCTCTGCCCCCCCCCCCCTCCCCCCTACGCTCCCGGAAAGGCCCGGCGGCGGCGGCGGCTGCCGCCTGCCCCCATGCCGGAGGCTTCCGGCTGGGGGCCGTCCGGCGGAGGGCGGGGGGAGGCGGTGTTACAAGCGACAAGTGAGCCGCTCGGCCCGCGGCCGTGACGCCACCTGCCCCGGGCGGGGCGCTCGTCTCCCGCCGCACCGAGCGCAGCTTCCACCCCCCCCCCCCCCCCTTCCTCCTCCTCCTCTCCTTCCCTCTCCTTCCCCCCCTCCCCTGGTGCACGGGCCGGGGCGGCCCCGCTGCCGCGGTGTTAAACGGCAGCACCGCGCCTTCAGCGCTCGCTGCCATTGGAGCCGGCGGCGGTTGGCGGGCCGTGCCTAACGGAACCCACAGCGTTGCCTTGTTCGCGGGGTGGGGTGTTTTGGGCTTTGTGGGCTTGGGTTTATTTTTTAAATTTATTTTTGGAAACGTTTTTTTTTCACATCCGATTAGCTTCCTGCTTTTAGCACACCTCACTGCAACTTGCATTTTTGGCCACTGCTGTCTAGTTAGATGTTGCTTCTCAAATATAAGGTCTGCACATGGGCAGAGAAGTGAAGTATCTGAAGCTGATTGGAACTTCAGCTTCCACAAATACACACATCTTCCTCGAAATACTGGATTAGAAACTCCATACGAAAATAAAATAGGGTAGTGTGTAGGACCAAGGGTAATAAAATGTGTGAAATTGTTCTTGTAACAGACCACCTTAGTGCTGAAATAATGTAGCTTTTGGCTACTGTAATTGCACATAATCACATTGTAACCGCACGCATCTTAGACTGACTTGGTACTGTGGGCGGCGCTTATGGTAGAAATAACTACAAGAGTGCCATGTAAGAACTTTAAATGCTAGAAAACGGAAACTGTGACTCAGTAGCTCTTTGTATGCATAGAATTTTTGCTGAATGCAAGGTTGTTGAGCTTTTTTGAATTTATTTCTGGCACGTGTATGTTCTACCTCAAGTGAATTTAAAGTTACAGGCTTTCTGCATATCTTATACCACCAAAGTGATTTTAAATCTGGTTTATTTCTTTCATGAGCAGCTAATACAATTTTGATGTATATTACACAGCATTAATGTGAACTCACTTTCTGAATGTATGTTCAATATACGTATAAACTTGCTGTATGTGTATATGTAGAGGATAAGTTGGTGGAAAATCATATGCAGTTTAGGGTGTGATTTCTTTCTCACCATTCCATGTATCTGATTCTTAGTAGAGATTTATATTTCTACTGTGCTTTTATAGATGAACATGAAAAAGCTTTTCTTGGGGAATAGATTTTTGTGTTGCTGGGATTTAAGATGTGTTCTATTGAAAAAGCAGGGCAACATTCTTGAAATAGAAAATATGAAGTGGTCTTTGAACAGCTAACTCATTTTGTGTTCTAGACTTGTTAACTAGTCCTTGGTGGGTGGTTGTGAGTGTCTTTGTGGGGAAGTGTTCCCTCCTCAAAACTGAAAACCAGATTTTGTAACTTAACTGATCTTAAAATCTGTGGAGAACAATTTTGTGTTTTTCCTCCAGTTTAACTTTTACATGAAATTTTAAAGTGCCGAGTTGAAAGGATGGAAGTAGGTCTTGTATTTCCTAGGTGTCAAGAACATTTTGTGGAGTATGAGTCGCCTGCCTCCTGAGCTTTGAGGTCATTTCCCACAGGCATGTGGCGGCTGGTTTGCACAGAGGAGTGCTTCCTCCTACAGTAACCCCCTCCTAACAAAATAAATATGTCTTCTTGAATAACCAGTTCACTTAAAATTCATGAATTTGAGTTAATTCTCTGGAAAGAGACATGATTGTTTTCAAGCAGCTAACTCCTAGTGGTGGTGATTTACACTTGTCTTTGGTTCCCACCAACTAGACACTTGATAACAAGAAGCAATCATTTTTTTTTGTCAGTGTTGTATTCCATATCTAATAAGGATCAAAATATAAGCATCTGAATGTGGGAATGGCATTCTTGTGAGTTACCAGAGGCGCTTACTTTAAATTTTCACATGGCAAAATGTACAGGCTGTTTGAAGAATGAAGCTGTTGATATTTTGTTAGAGTTGACATAATGCTTAACCTGTGAGGTAGACACACAAAAGTAGAATAAAGCAGATAAACATCAAGCAGTTAAAGGTAATTCTTTTAGTTCCGTAAACAGCGATCAGGCTAATCATAACAGTACAAATGTTTTCTTATTTGATTTAAATTATTTTCATAATTTAGAAGACAGGTAACTAAGGTTGCTTGGTGCTTCACATCCATCCATTTAATCTTAGCTGCATAGCACTTTGGGGGGTTAGTTTGTCTATTTTTCTCCAAAGTTTATCTGTTTGAATTTTTTTTTTTTTTTCCCTCCCCTCTTATTCTTTGTCTTTGCCTTTGACAGATGTTTAGAAGTTCTTTGGATTGGGGAGCGGGCAAAGAAATCCCAACACACAAACAGTCTTTTTTAATAAGAAACTTGGGGAAAATGTGTTTTGTTTTGTTTTGTGGGGGTTTTATTTTTATTTTTTTTTTCTTTTTCCTTTCTTTCCCCCTTTTCATTTTTGAAGAAGTTTTGGGCCTCTGGGAACTCTTTCTTTCTGTCAGGACCAAATGACTTCTGCTTTTGTGTTTTGCTGTTTGCTCTTCTGAAAGCTGCACGTTTTACCAAACGCTGTTTGTTAGGCAAATGATCTGAAGAGTTGAGGCAATATGAGAACAAAGAGCACTTTGACACATCAAGCAAGGCATTAGATGAAAATGCAGTTTAAAGTTGTCATAGCCCCCGTGTCTGGAAGGCCTAAATTATATACACACAGGCAACCTTGATTTGATATATCCTAATTGTGCTCGATTTTATAGTACTGATTATCATTTAAGGTTTTTAATGTGGAAAACTGTTACAGAAAGGATTTTGCATGAGACTTATTTACTTTCTTAGACCGTATTTTGAATAATTTTAACCAGGTTTTCCTTTTTTCCAGAATGGTGAACACACATAGAACATTATCAGAACTCCATAGAATTTGCATTTGATTTGAGAGCTTGTAAGAGCATTCATCATGGAGAAACAGCAGATTGTCCTGGGTAGCCGGGATGGTGGGACTGTGTCTGGTGCAGCACCTGCTTTTTTTGTCATCTTGAAACAGCCGCAGGGAAACGGTAAAGCTGACCAAGGAATCCTAGTAGCAAACCGTGATGCTTGTGCTCTCGCCAGCAGTGTATCAACTTCAATAAAACCCGAAGTCAAGACCTGCCTCCCAGCTGAGTGTGTCTCGGGGGGCATTACCGTCACCCTAGATAACAACAGTATGTGGAATGAATTCTACCATCGCAACACAGAAATGATTCTGACGAAGCAGGGGAGGCGCATGTTCCCGTACTGCCGATACTGGATTACAGGTCTGGATGTCCATCAGAGGTACATCCTAGTCATGGACATATCCCCTGTGGACAATCACCGATACAAATGGAATGGCCGTTGGTGGGAGCCCAGTGGAAAGGCAGAACCGCATGTTCTCGGGCGAGTGTTTATTCATCCAGCATCCCCTTCCACTGGCTATTACTGGATGCACCAGCCAGTATCTTTCTACAAACTCAAACTTACCAACAACACCCTGGACCAGGAGGGGCATATAATCTTGCATTCTATGCACCGTTATCTGCCACGACTTCACTTGGTGCCTGCCAACAAAGCCACAGAAGTCATTCATCTCAATGGCCCTGATGTCCATACATTTACCTTTCCACAGACGGAGTTCTTCGCAGTTACAGCCTACCAGAACATCCAGATTACCCAGCTGAAAATAGATTACAATCCTTTTGCTAAAGGATTCAGAGATGATGGGTCGAATAGTCGACCTCAGCGTGATGTGAAACAAACCAGTAACTTAGAATTGGAAGGAGGTGGTGTTTTTAGTGCTGCTAGCGTTCGTGGTCGCCCTGCTGAAGTTGCTGCATTAGATTTACATCAGAGAACTTTAGATTCTTCATTCATTGGTCAAAACCCATCAGATGCTGATCTGGACAAAGAGTCCTTTAACGCAGAAAGGGAATTCCTGGGTTTCCTGGACACTGACCTGTCTTCACAAGATATGCCAAAGCTAAAACAAGAGGTCTCTGAAAGGTGGGTTAACATCCTATTTTTAGTACAAGTACTGTTTGAGTGGGGTGTTTGATAAAATGTTAAATAATAGGATGCTCAGTGTAGAGATTTACAACTAAAGGTTGCCTGACCTGAAATGGCAAAACATTTAGCATTATTAAAAGCTTTTCTTTGTTTAAATTGTCATCTATCAGTCTGGACTTTCTATTGTGTCTGAGGAGTGTAAGTCTTCAGTATTTTTTCCTACGTTGCTTTAAACTCCTTTTGCAGAGAAGTGTCGAGGGATTTCTCTTAACCCTCTTAACATTTTAGAAGATTAAATTTATTTTTTCAGAGTTTTAAGCAGAGCACATTGCCTTTCTTTTTAGGGTTGCTTACCACAGCGACATGCTGTCTCTGTCTTCAGTTTTCACTAGTGGATGGGTGAGGATGTGTGGTATGTATGGATATTTAGGTTGGGTATGTGTAGGGATTGCTACAAGGCAGTTATAACTGGCAGCATGCCACTGTTTTGTCAGTAGTTGCTTGTGTGAATTCTTTTATTCCACAATGTAGTATGAGGTAGCCTGCCAGCTGGTAGTCAGTTGCCTCATGTTTGCTGTGAGGCAAGGGAATCTGCACCTGGGGAAGTACTTCAGAATAACTGTTAGACTGTTCAGACCTTAATTTCCTCTGTGGTAATTTTATGTTTATGAACTTAAGCGGTATTGACTTTTTGAACCATTCTATTCATAGCATACAAACAGTAGTAAAGCAATCTAGTGTATATTGAGAGCCTACCCATAGTATGGAACCTGCTGACCAATAAGTCTTCGTGTTGGTAAAGCAAGCCTGGCGAAACCTGTTATTTTCCTGCACTTTCACTCAGTTTCCAAAATCTAAGCAATAGAATAGAGCAGATTTAGTCAATCTGTGTCAAGAGATGCTTGAAACACTTTGAACCTGAAGAAGCAGTTTAAAAGAAAAAAAGAGGCTTCTCTCCTGTCATGTTTCTTCATGTCTGTCTGTGAATACCAGACTTAATCTGACAAGGATTCAGTGACAAAAGCAGCCTTATGTAGATCTGTACACCAAGAAACTATTTAACTGGAGGGTCTCAGGGTAATGTTAATGGTGTAATTAGAGGTCAGTTCTTAGAGGAAGAAAAGTTGTATTTGTGACAAAATTACATAGTTTGTTTCAAAGGCTATATTACTCTACTACTTCAGTGTGTTTTAGAGTGGCTGGAGGTTTGTTCTACTGTGCTTTTTCCATGCAGAGAGCATCTCCTTGCCTTTTGACGAGCTGAAAAACTTGAAATTACAAAGTTCTCCATTCTTTGAGATTTTGAATTTAGTTGTCATAATTCTTAACAATACTAGAATTGTTTTGTGATCTAGAGTGCCCTAACCGTTCTTTTGCAGTATTTCCCAGTGTCAGTGTATTAGGAAGAACATCATCTAGACTTCTTATATTCCCCAAAAATGTTGTTGTAAATTCTAGAGAAACCCATCTTAAAGACTCAAAGTACGCTGATTTCAGAGAGGATGGGCTTTCTTTAGTTCCTAAGAATGCAGTCTGGAGAAGTGTTTAGTTAACTTTGCATATTGGAAGTAAAACAGTAAAACTCTGAAAATAATTACTGAAAGGTTTATTTTGTTTTCAAAGAGATGCTTTTTTCTTCTTGGGGTCAGCTACAGTACAAGAAAATCAAAATTTTGATCATTTTGTTTGTCTGAGAAGGGTCATTGAAGCAAGTTATTTGGAGAACGGTTTGAATTGGACAGCTTGAGGTTTTTTGGTTCTCTTTACCAAGGAATAAAAATCACTGTTTTAAGGACTTAAGGACTTTCCTTAAGAACAGATGATGCAAATTGGCAGACTTAATTTCTTTTGGTCCAAAGCATGTTAGATGCCTTCCCTGGCTTTACCTCCAAGACAGTTTATCCCTGAAATGTGCTAAAAGTTGCACAGATGGGAAAAGACTGTAAAGAGTTTTTTTCTATTCTGGGTCTGGAAGCCGCTCTCATTTGATAAATAAATGCTACCAACTATTCCTCAAGCATTGTCCAGCTTTTTGTTTTATGTTTTTGTAATCTATGTGAAAAAGTCAGATTCTGTACTTGGAAAGAGAATTGATCTCATCCAAGAAACGTCAGAACTATTTTTTTATGTGCTGGAGTTTTTTCAGAACATTAGTTCTCCTTTTTCCCTCAGATCTGTTCATAATGTTTTCATGCTGTGCAGTTGAGATCCGTTCATAAATATGTTAGCCTTTCAAGGACAGTGAGTGGCATTTTTCTTTATCAAACCAGACACATTAATACTTATGTATTAATGAAGACTGGACAGTTTTTTAATTTTGTCATGGGCAAGCTATTACTAGTAGCTGATAGACATTATCATGTTTTTATGCAGTGTAGTGATTTTTGCTGAGTTTAGATTTGGGAGAGAGTGAGAAGTTGGGAACTCCTTCCTCTGGGATAACATTCACTAAAGGAAGTGGAGTTCCTAGCGCTGTAGGGCATGATACTTTCTGCGAATGCCTGATTTGTCTGACGCTTTTGAGAATGGAACTATGTAAAAGATTGCATATACCTGAGAATAATTTTAATCTTGAGTTACTGGTGCACTTTGGAAATAAAGGACTATTTTCTTTATACAAGGTGTAGTATGTTTTGGGTTTTTTTCCTGCAGCCTTGGTAGTCTGTTTAGTTTCATCAGGTGTATTATAAAGAAAATAAATGTTTAATTTGAGTTGTGGACCCTTCTGTAGGAATGCTTATGCCTGGCACTACTCAGATGTTAGGGCCACAGAGGAAACCACAAACAAACTTTACTGGTTCTTGAGTCTTACAGGATAACATACCCCTTCTCCCTTCCAAGATCTTTTGAATTTTCTAGTTCAAAAATACAAGTACTGTGGGATTTTTAATGCTCCAGTAGTCTTGTTTTTCTGATTTAGTTGTGTTGTGTTTAGTCTGACAGTTTACTTTTCTTACCTCCTTTTGGAAGGCAAGTGATCATCCTTCAAACTCCAGACACAGATTGCTAGATTATTTCCAAAAGAAATATTTTTTTTCCATGGTATATTTTAAAATGATCTATCTAAAAAAAAAAATCCACGGATGTCAGTAATTTCAATAAATGAGCAGCTAAACGGTTTTTAATTTGGCAAAATGCAAGGAAGAGATTTCTCTGTTTTTACTGTTTTATTATGAGGGTATCAGATACATTACTAGAGGTATAAGGAAGTTTGCTTAAATATGAGCAGCATTGTTGCATATCAGACAAAGAAAGAGCTAGTTAAGACATTCTTTCACCATTTTTACCTGATGTCAGATTAAGCAGACAAGGATTTTGAGAGGACAAACTTGCATGATTTGTCTTCCCATAGAATATAGGAAGAGAAGTTTCTGTGACTGGTTATTATTGCACATCACAAACTGAGGGCCAAATGAAATTACTTCAGTGCTAAAAAACAACCTTTTTATTGTTTGAAAAGTTGATAATTGCACCCGAATTTAAAAAAATGTAGAAAAATGCTGTGCATCATTTTGTACAAACACTCTTGTCTTCTCACACGTACGCATACATGGGTGATACCTCAGTCTCGTTACCATCTGGCTTTTACTCTGTATATTGCAACCATAATAACATTTGTGTCCAGAAATGTCATTTTTACAGCAGGGCTTGCTGCTTTATTTTGGATACTGTCCAGATCCCTAACAGAAAGGTAATTCTTAGCTTCAGTATACATCTTGCAATAGGTAAAGGAAAATGGCTAGAGAAGTCCAGGCTTTACTGGGTTTCCAACTGGAAACAGTAGAACTCAGATGTGAAATTTATTCCTGGCCAGAAAATTTACTAGTTTTTTTTTTGTCTCTTTATTGTAGAGAATTTTAAGAGAGAGGGGCAGGTGACTCGCGTCTTCTTAATAGCATTGACTGTAATTGTGGATCTGCTCTACTGAATCAACCTCTAGCTGTAACGTGACAGGATTTTGAGTTGCCCATAACCTCTAAGTAGATTGTCTTAGAATTTAGTTCACAGTAAGCTCACTGAAGAAGAAAGACTTTTTATCTTATACCTGACATTCTTAATTAAACGAAAGCTAGAAAGTTTTTAATAGGAAACTCACTGGTCAGAGAAGACAGTAGACAAATCAGAACTGGTATGCCACTCTCCTTCTGCCTGTTACTCCCTCAGAAAGCAGGTTTTTCCTTCAGGCTTAATTCTAGTTACTTAGTGTCCTTCTGAATTACAGCAGGTTTTCTAGATAGGTTCTGTCTTGTTCTTAGGAATTTTGTATGTAGATGTATAAATCTGTGTCTTGACAGTTTGCTCCCTATTTTAACACTGCAGTCTTTCTTCATGAGGTGGAGACTCACAACTCCATGCTGTGACTTTTTGTCCCAGCTTTTCTGCCTTAAGTATGTTCTCAGTCTACACAAGGCAGAAGCAGCCTCTTCCTCCACATCTTTTTCTCCCTCAATCCCAGCTGGGGGTTCAAGTGAGCATAGTCATTCTTTAAAGCTGGGGGGATGGATAATAATGAAGTATACACATACACACACAATATATAAAGTAATATTCCCTTTATATGCAATATATTGTTAGTAAAATTATGTTAAGTTACTTTGAAGTTGAAATGAGGAGCCAGCTTCTGATGTACTTAACAAAGCTGCCGACTGCTGTTTTCTGACTGATGTGTCTGTCCCTCAGAGAAGCCCATCATCAGAGAGTAACTGGCTGTACCGTTAGTCTTCAGTATCTAATGCATGGTATGTCAAATTCTGGTTAGGTTAATACTCAGACTTAGTGGAAGACAGAGCATAATTCAGTAGGATATTAACTTCTGTAAGTGTTCAAACAGCTGAATTTAGAAATTGTCTGTACGTGGCCTCAGGATGAATTAAAAATATTTGTTGAGTCACATAAAGTGAAGTGCATTAACTGCTCTCCTGGCTTCTTATTTGCAAGCACAGTGGCTTTAGTATGGTGACTTAATGAGATATACAGCAAACTAAGGTCACTTCTGGGCATTTAAAACGTAGCTTAGTCCAAGTTCATGCCGAGTCTTAAATAGGAAAAAGTGCCAAAGTCACCCTGATACTACTGGGGAAGGAAATTGTGCTGCTGCCTTCAGATAAGAAGTTGGATTGTTTTTAATTACAGCAATTTTCTTTCTTTTTTTTTGAGTGCTTCTAAAAATGTGAGTTTGTAAATGACAGCTTATTTAGCAGTCTCATGTCTCGGAGCATTTTGAAAGTTTTTAAAAATATGTAACCAAGGATTATGGGAGATGATGGAATTTCAGTAAAGGAAGAGATTTGATAAAGAACTTGTGTTGTGTTTGTTTTTGTGTTCCCCCTCCCACCCTAGTCCCATTGCTAGCAGTTATGAAAGCGGCTCCCGTGTGGCATCCCCACTGGACCCAAATGGACATTTTAATGTGCTCATTAAAGAGGAACCAGTAGATGACTATGACTACGAGTCAAGTATTTGCACACAAGGAATAAGTGTGAAACAGGAAGACACAGATGAAGAAACTGATGAGTATTCCAACACTGATGATGATGATCCTGTCCTACAAAAACACTTGATGAGACGCAGTGAAATAGATGGAATTGATGGAGAATTCAGGTTTAGGAAGCGTATGCTAACCAGTCATTCAGGTGTTGCCAAAGCAAAAATGTTAAAACTGGATAGTGGGAAGATGCCTGTGGTCTATTTGGAACCTTGTGCAGTCACAAAGAGCACAGTAAAGATATCTGAGCTGCCGCAGACCATGCTCTCCTCTTGCAAGAAGGATAAATCCCCATTGAGTGCAGTACTGGATACCTTGCCTGTGTGTTTTGAAAATCACAAAGGTTGTTGCTTAGGCACAGCCACTGTAACTGAGGAGTTAGTAATGAAAAAACAGTCATCTGGGAGTAAAATGTTACAGAAATACTCTTCAATCAGAGAGGCCCAGTGGGCTCTCTCTAAATCACCTAGTTTTAATCTCAGGGGCTCAGTAAGTTGTCACTTTTCAGCTAAAGAGATCTGTGGAAGAAAAAGGCCTGGCATACTGAAGAATCCAGTGTCCCTGAAGGGCTCTGGTAGCAATCAAAACAACCTATCATCAGTTACAACTAAAAGAGGAAGGCCACGGAAACTGAAAATTTCCAAGGCTGGTCGACCACCTAAAGGTATAGGGAAAACTGTAATAACGACCAAGAACACCTCTCTGGGTCCTGGGAGTATCCTTCCAGATGTTAAGCCCGACCTTGAAGATGTTGATGGAGTCCTCTTTGTGTCCTTTGCATCAAAGGTAAAACCTATTTTGAATAGAATTCAAAACCTTTTCTGATATCTCATGTTTAAGCCCTTTATACTTATAAACTGAAGGTATATTTTCTTTTAAATGGAGTTTTGAGGTGTATGGCCTATTTCCAAATCTGTATGTCCCAATGTTAATCAGAACTTTTTCTTACTTCTTAGTAACTTGGGGGGGGGAAATAGTGGGGTCTAGAGATGCATACTTGTTTATTAAACAATCTTATGTTTTGAATATTTCAGTGGTATTTTGATGTGGGCTAGTTTGCATCTGAGTCAGCGTTTTAAGGTATCTTGTACTTATTTGAGGCTCTTTATGTATGTAGGAAGCTCTTGACATTCACACTGTTGATAGAGCTGGAGGAGAAGAGTCGCAGAATCTTCAGGCTCCTTTGCTGACTACAAATGATCCAGGTACGTTTTTGTATTTTTTGTGTCTATTCCCTGCAATAAGGGAATTTGTGAAGACACATCGAAAAATAAATCATTGAAGTAAATTTTTTTCATGGTTAATGTTTTCTATATGTTCTCTCTTTTTTTATGCTTTGAGTAGATTGTCAAGCAAGAATCCAAGTACTGGAAAAGGAATTGATGGAAGAGCTGAAGACCTTGAGGCATAAGCAAGTAATACATCCCAGCCTTCAGGAAGGTAAGCAGGCAGTGTACATTTTGTTGCACCTGGCTGTATATTATACTTAATCATACTGAGTTGATAAATTCCGACTGGATGTAATAATGTGTATGTCCAACACAGCTGGGATCTGATTTTTTTGTTTGTTTGTTTTTTCAAATGCAGGAAAGTGTACAGGTATGTATGTACAAATACGAGAGTATGAAAGGAAATTTGTGTGAAACTCATTTTCCCTCTTGCCACTTGTGGCAATGAGAGAGAATCTGGTGTCTGACCCAGTTTTTTTCTTACAGGCTTTAAAAGTAGTTTCAGCCAGCTAATAAAGATGTTTTCATTTTCACACATTTATGTTGCAAACTGGAAGAGGTAGAGGAGGCAAAAGATGAATCCTGAATCTCCATCGGCAGAGTGAGAGGCTGCATGTCATTATATGCCTCTTGCAGAAGATGCTGAGCCTTCAGGCAATGCCTGTTTTGTAATGAGCTAATCCTTGTAGAGAGCAGATGGAGCTGATTTTATTCTTCCATAGAAAATAGCCATTTCCTGGTAGTAGAGGAGCTAGAGATCTGGAGACACTTAAGTAAGACTACATTTGCTATGTTTGAGTCTGTATTTCTTTGCGTTGCTGTAGATCCAGGTTCACTAGCCACGTAAGAGGGTCAATCAAGGTACTTCTAGCTTGGGATCTTTCATTTGTATACAGTATTATCCTGAGGTCAGATGGAAGAAAGTCAAGGATCAACACGTAAGGACTTAATGTTCTCTCTGCTGCTGATGTTGAAGGTCTTCAGCAATAGTAGTCCTCAGAGAATTAAAGATGAGCATGTTAGAAGGAAAGCTCCTGCTGGAGTACTGCAGTGGTGTGGGATGCCTCTTCTATTATAGCTAGTTTGAATCTTTATCATATACCTGAAAATCAAAGGCACTGTTGTCATGCATCATATTTCAGATTTAGTAGCTGCATCTGATGTAGAGGAGGAAGTTCTTAAGGTTCTTCATTTGCTACTACTTGACTGCAGCAACTGGAATTTAGCAATACTCTGGAGACGATAGAAATTAATAAAAGTAGTAGTTCACCTGTCATGTATGGTGATATCTGTACTGACATAATACTTACCACAACATCTCTTAAGGCTGTGTTCATTTCACGTTGCACTTGTTGGAATCATCCTCTTGTTTTTTGTCTGTGTGGTTTTTACTTCATGATCCGAAACTGAAAGAATAGATATTGTGTATGAGTGATGTTCTTATTTTTGTTTGAGTGTTAAACAAAGCTAGGCTTGTTTTTGAAGATGACAGAATAATTCAGATGGAGTGTCAAGAAAAATAAACTGTGTACTCTTTCAGTTTCATTTTAAATAGAGTCTGAAAATAAATGGATTGTATCTTGACATTTTGCAGTTGACATGTTTTTATACAAAATGCTAGACTGACTTGCTGCTCATTTTCCCTATGTAGATTTGAAAATTATATCTCACTAGACTGTCTTGGATAATAGTTTCTGTTTAAACAACCATGTCTGAGATTTGTTCAATGTCAGTTGTTTTCAGGCTGCCAGTAATCAGGTCACTGTGTTGCCACTTACAAAAATAAATGTGTACCGCCAGCACAGGGTTTTTGCTCTACGTGCAAATACTACTTTGTGCCCTGAGCCTTGTGAAGTCATACATTTTCAATTTCAAAACTCACATATTTAGTGTGAGTTTCAGACTTGCTGGCAACAGGAGCAACATTTGTAGGTTTCTATAGCTAAAAACCAAAACAGATGTTCTCAACTCCAGAATTTGATTGACAACAATAATTTCTTGAATTCAGTGTTTTCTGAAAAAGGTACCAAGTAAAATTTACTGACTGTTATTTATTTTCAGCTTTTCTGTATCTGTATTTTTTTTTGCCATGGATAAAGATAGCTTTTGTGACCTAGTAAAGTCTTTCGATTTGAGTATTTTGGGGGAGCTGATGAAGGAAGTTGTTATAAGCAGTTAAGCATTTGTGGTAGCATCATCACCAGTTTCTTTATAGCTGTTTTTCCCCGTTGCTTCCCCCCCCCCCCCCCAAAAAAAAAAAAAAAACCAAACCCTGAAGTTTTATTACAAAGTGCCAAGCCTGGAAAAAAAATAACCTACTGAGATCTGGATCATGTGATGAACTAGTCCTGAGAACACTGTCTAAATACAACTTTATTTGTATCATAATTTCCAAACACACCCATATTCTTCTTCAGAACTGAGATGCTGTTTGTTCTTTTCTTTCATTGCTGGTTGAAACTGAAGTGTGTGTGGTATATGTTCTTGCACAAGATTAGCTTTCAGTAGAGAAGGGAATGTGTAGGTACCACTGGCAGGACTGATAAATTATGTAGCAATATGAAATATCAAATAGCTGAATTGGGTTCAGGTAGTAACTCTAGTCTTCAGTGATGTAAACAGTTCTAAAATCTTCAAAAAACAAACAAAAACTTTTATTATGAGAATTATTACAACATTGGCACTTTGGTTAATAAATTTCTGTGGAAACTTCAGTAGTAATTAAGAAAACTCTGAAAAGTAATTAAATTTTTTTTTCTTGGTTTCACATTCCTTAAAATGCTCTTTAATTCTTACCTGCTGCCAATCCAGTGAAAGTAGCAGTTATAGCTGCTAATGTTCTTTTTCAAGTCTCTTCAAATTGTAGGGGAATGTTAGAAGAGCCTGTATATAACTTAATGGTTTATTTTATAGTAAATATCTTGACTTTGATTTTCCTAACATCGTGCTGCATTGAGACATTTACCGATACTTGCTTTTCTTAGTGGGACTGAAGTTGAATTCTGTGGACCCAACAATGAGCATTGACTTAAAATACTTGGGTGTGCAGCTTCCTCTTTCCTACTCTAATTACTCTTTGTGGAGCTATCCAGGAACCAATCCCAATTCTCCAGGTGGGTAGAATATGAATTTGCTGAAATGTCAAGTACTACCTTTTTATTATCAATGATCAAGAGGAGGGAATAGTCATTTAGTTGAACTTGATACGTTAAAGGGATTACAGCAGTTTTAAAGTGACAAAGTGTGAGAACTTCCATATATCGTTATGTGGCTATTGACCAAGGAGTCCTGAGCAATTCTGGTCAGATTGTCTTCAGCCTTCTCTTTTTTGTGATGGTTGTGATCCAGTATTAGTATCTGTTGAGTTTATTTTATACCAGTATTGGAACTGGATTTTCTAGATGTAAATATACACACTAACTACTCCCAAATTGCTCAGAAAAAGCCCAAGCTATCTAATTTCTCTGATGTTACTCACATGCTGTTGTGGTTTGAGCCCAGAGGGCAACTGGCCACCACTCAGGGAATCACTCACGTCTTCCCCCTCTGGAATGGGAAGGAGAAAATAAAGTGAAAGGCTCCAGAATCCAGATAAGGACAGGGAGGGGTGGCTCGCCCATTAAGTAAAAAGACAAAACAGACAAGTAAGGGCAAAACACAGACTCGTTAGGGGAAGAAAAAAAAAAAGAAAACATTTTAATTCAAACACTAACAAAAACAACACTTTACAGACAAGGTGAGACACTGAGAAGTGCCACCACATCCAAAAACACCTCCCTCACCCCTCCCCTCTTCCCGGGCTCAGCTCTGCTCCCCATCTCTCCCCCTCCTCCCCCAGCAGGGCAGGGGATGGGGGTTACAGCCAGCTCACTGCTCCTTCCTTCTCTGGATGGGGTAAACGATACACACTCCTCCCCTGCTCCGCGGGGCTCCCCTCTGACTGCAGACAGTCCTCCATGGACCTTCTCTGGTGTGATTCCTCCCCATGGGATGCAGCCATTCCCAGGCTGCTCCAGCGTGGGTCAGCCCTGCGAGTTGCAGTCCTCCCAGCATTGAACTACAGCAGCGGGGCTGCTTCTCCCCTCAGAGTCCTGGCCTCCTTTAGGCACAGACAGCTGCTCTGGTGTGGGCTCCTCCACAGGCTTCAGGTCAGCCTCTGCTCCACCCTGGACCCCCATGGGTGGCAGGGGGGCGGCCCTGCTATCTCACCACGGGATACAGGGGGGCTCTGCTCCAGCACACCTCCCGCCCTTCCTCCTTCCTTCCACTGACCTGGGTGTCCCATAGCTGTCCTTCTCGTAACTCTTCCTCACAAGTCCCCCCCATGCCCCAGCCCTCTCCCAGGTTCCCCTTCTTAACTATGTTATCACAGAGGTGCAGCCACCATCATTAACTGGCTTGGCCCTGGCCAGAGGTGGGTCTAGCTTGGAGCCGGGGGAGCTTTGAGAAGCTGCTCACAGGGGGCACTGCTGTGGCCCCCTGCCCTGCTACCAAAAACCCCACCACACAAACCCAGCATACAAATAAAGCAAGTATGAGGAGGAGTTGTTGAAGAATTGCACACATGCAAAATAAAAAAAGTTTTCTTTTACAGAGCTGAGTATCAGGACTTTCTGGAAGAGCTTGAGGCACCACTTGGAGGCTAACCTGTAACTTCATGATAATTACATGTGGTGGCCAATTGTGCTTTTTTTAAACTCATTTGGTATCCAGACAAGTGTATTTCTCTCTATACTGTGACTGTACTTCTAATCCTGTTGGGAGATACTCTTTGATAATAAGCTGGTTGGACAAAGTATAGGGTTGCTTATCTTCCATTTACCTCTTTCTCCTACTTTAATATTCTGATTCCTGTGTCTTTCGTAATCTGCTGTGCTTGGGAGCTGTTAAAGAGAGAGGTATTGTATCTCAGCTTTATTTAAACTGCAAAAGAGGCAGATTCAGTTCAGAAGACCTCAGTCAGATCAGTGTCAAATGGAAGTCTTTCTAGCCTAGCAATAGGTAAAACAGCCACACAGATCCCTATGAGTGTTTTTACATTCCGATTTAGCTCCCAGAGCTGGTGGATAACTTGACAAAGGTGTCGCTGTTTGCCTTTTTTCATTATTCCCTGTCTCTACCCCTAATTGATACTCAGCTAAATTTGACAGAACACCAGCCATTAAATGAAGTTTCTACAGGTCTTTTAAAAGTCACTGACTCTTAACTGAGGGGAGAGACTCATTACTTTCCTCACTGAGAGAGGTTGTGGTATCAGCTCAAAACCTGCCTGTTCTGTTTTATCCTACTAACTAGCTGATTCACCTGTTTGGGTTTTGGAATCAATTGCTTGCACCGTTGTTAAGGAGACTAAAATTGAAAGAACAGGAGAAGACGTCTTTTGTATGGGGGAAAAAAAAAATAAAGTGTCTTTATTCAGCCTTTTGATTTACTGCTGTTCACCTCTCCCTGAAAAGGAATAATCAGAGTTTGCTAGGACATTGGTACAATCAGGGTCATCTCATAAACTGAGGCTAGCTTTTTTCTTTTCCAGATACTGGATTTCCTTTTGTTTCCAGGACAGGAAAGACAAATGATTTCACAAAAATTAAAGGCTGGCGAGGGAAGCTTCATGGTGCTTCTAGAAATGAAGGTAAAAAAAAAAAAAAAAAAGAGATCAGTATACTTATTTCCAATACGTGGCTTTTTCTTGACTTGCTTTGGTACTGCTTCCATGGGAAGAAAGAAACTTATTCCAAGTAAGATAAAAATACATGTATTGTGTTTTACACAGAAGGCTTGAGTGAAGATCAAAACTGTAATAGTTTTGGTTTTGTTCGTCAGTTTTGAATTTACTTGAAAGTATAATTCCAGATTTCTGGTGTCCCAGGAACCCTAATGAACTAGAGTAATTTTCATTTATATCAGTGTATTTTTAAGTCTAGTTAGAGTGGATATTCCTTACATATTTGATTACTTTGCTCTGCCTCAGGGAGAAACGGGTATTTGACAATTGGACAATTTTTACTTTATATTTAGATCAAATATTTATATTGTACCTTAGGCACTTTCATACAGTGTTGTGTTGAGGCATTCCAGATGTGTTGTGGTTTACCAAGTAGGCTAGATGTTCAGGACAAAGTAAGTTACATAAAAACACTGCTTGCTGAAGGCTTACTGTTTTTGAGAACAAATACATGTGTCAAATCTCCACAAAAGCAGTTGTTCAGACAGCTGGTTGTGTTTCAGAGTGGGTTATATTTGGCGTGCCTGTGTTGTGCTCTTCTACAAGAATTGTGTATGTCTTTAGTTATTTACCTCTTCTATGTTGTGTAATTATTATAGGATTTGTCAGTATGTTTTCCCAGGAGCCTAGTTAAAGTGTTCTTTATTTAGGTGGCAGTTCAGAAGGTTCCTTGAAGAATCGCTCAGCGTTCTGCAGTGACAAGCTGGATGAGTACCTGGAAAATGAAGGGAAATTGATGGAAACGAGCATGGGATTCTCTTCTAGCACTCCCACTTCTCCAGTGGTGTATCAGCTTCCCACTAAGAGCACTAGCTATGTGCGAACACTTGACAGTGTTTTAAAGAAGCAGTCCACCATAATTCCATCAACATCTTACACGTTCAAGCCTGTTCCTTTGTCATCTACCTCTAGGAAGACAAAGACTCAAACCAGACAGGCATCTACAAACAGTAGAGTAAAATACAAGCCCATACTGCCTTCACCTTTTTCTGCAAAGCAGAAACAGAACTCTTCAGCATCAGGGGAAAAGGCCGCTAAGTCTGTCTCAAATAGCAGTTTGAATAACCAAGCAGATGGTTTCATGGTGCCAGCTCTGGATGAAAACATACTTCCAAAACAGATTAGCTTGCGCCAAGCACCACAACAACAAGGAGCTCGTCCACCAGGTTTGTCTAAGTCTCAAGTGAAGTTAATGGACTTGGAAGACTGTGCTCTCTGGGATGGCAAACCACGGACCTATATTACAGAAGAACGAGCAGACATCTCTCTGGCAACCCTGCTTACGGCTCAGGTAGATCTGTAATACTTTAATTTCTTTTATACCGCCGCTTTTCCAAATCTGTACACTTGCTGATTTTGCATACAGATGCAGAAAACAAGACTGAAGCTGCGAAGGAGCATGACAAAGCACGATGATCCTTTGTGGTGTAGTCTTTGCAGTGAAAGTTGAGAAGTGCTGACTTAGCAGTATGTGAAAAAACTAATTGTGATAATAGCGTGTTGATACAGATCATTAATAATGAGTTATTTCCCATTTTCACAATTAAAAATTCTGGTTAATGCAATTGCTATTCAGTAACTGCATTTCCTTAATATTCATCAACTTTTTTTTTTTATTGTTAGTTGAACTATCTGCAAAAAAAATCCTGGTCATGTGACTTGGTTGTCACATGATAACCTCTTTTGCTTTCTTCACATCCTGCTTGTTGCCAGGATGGTTTAGCTGCCTCAAAATTTCCACTCAGAAGACTTTAAATGCAAACTTGCAAACTCTCCTCTGTTCTGCCTTTTTTTTTTTTTTTTTTTTAGTATAAATGACAAGTTATCATATGTAAACTGTGTAGTTGGAGGGGCTATTCTAAATGAACTTTGAATAGCAATTTTGCATGTGCTTGATTTACTGAAATGTCCTCTTACTAAAGTTTGAAGTGTATACTTCTTTAAAACTTTTCCTAGGCTTCTCTCAAAAACAAACCTATCCACAAAATAATAAGACGACGAGCACCTCCTTGCAATAATGATTTCTGTCGACTGGGTTGCATATGTGCCAGTTTGGCCCTGGAGAAACGTCAGCCTACCCACTGCCGCAGGCCAGACTGTATGTTTGGTTGTACTTGCTTGAAGAGAAGAGTGTTGCTGGTGAAGGGAGCATCAAAACATAAGAAAATAATGAAAAAGGGTGTGCGTGGAAATCTTGCGTTCTATGGAACACAGGAAGAACATCAAGAGGATGAAGATGTGGAAGAGGAGGGTGATGTGGAAGAAGATGAGCTGAAGCAGAAGGATAAGAAGAAGAGAAAAAGAGTGGAATACAGTGAGTATTGCTGAGCGAAAGTGATTACTTACAGCTTTGCAGAAAGCCCCTATCTTGGTGGGCATTTTTGTTAGGATGTAATAGTGATGCCATTTCTAAATCCAGAGAATGGGAGTGAATTCCAAAAGATGTCTGCAGCATCTGCTTTCATGTAGCTGACTAGCAGGAAATAACACCTTTTTGCTTTTTTAACTCTTAATTATCTGATTGGCATTTTGGGCACTACTTAGTTGTTTGTTATGCTCAATTAGCTGGAGTTTCTTTTTGATAATTTAAACTCTCCAGATACCTTGAAAGACTAAGGCTATGAGATAATTACTGCTGTCACTATTGGTAATCTTCACTGTTACAGTGCTCTTTTCTTTCCCCTCCTATCAAGTGGGTATCTAGAGCTGTATTTTCAGTTGCTGTACGTAGCTGCATAGTTCACTGACTTCAGTGGAAATACAGTGACTGATGGTAGTTTCACATGTGGCCTAACATATGCTCAGGAAAGCAAACTGGCAGAGGTTGATCATGGATTTACACTTTCAGTTTCTTGCTAGTAGTAGTTTTAGTAATAGTGAAAACCAAACATAGTGTTAGCTGTTGTTCCACTGGAATAAATTAATTCTTCATAAAGCTGTGGTATAAAGTCTGTTTTTTGGGGGGTGTTTGTAATTTTTAAGTATATAGTATCAGTGAAGATCACTAATTTTTCAGTGTCTTTTTGTATCCGCTATCACAGTACAAGTAAAAAAACAATGATTAGTGTAAAATACTTATTTTCATTTCCTGTTCCTTGTGGACAAATCCCAGTCACTTTTGGCTAGAATTCAAAACAAGAGAAACATTCAGCAGTATTTTCTAGTAGTATGAACTAGTGATTGCTGCATGGCTAAACTTCAGGCTCAAACAAAAAATTCTTTTACTGCCGTGTTAGATGATGTTTCATTCACAAGTAAATTGGTTTTGTTTTTCCTCTTTTTTTCAGCTATCTGTGACTCGGAGCCAGAACAGCCTGTTAGGAATTGTCCGTTGTGGGTGAAAGTAGAAGGTGAAATAGATCCAGAGCCAATTTACATCCCAACACCTTCTGTTATTGAACCAGTTAGATCTTCAGTAGTGCCCAACACAGAAGTCATGCTTTCTAGTAAGCATAGATCTTCCAGTGGAATGAAAACAGGCAGAGTGTATACTCCTAAACCCAATCCAGTGGTAAGAAAGGAAAAAAGATGTATTTGGTTTTCTTTGTATCAAAAATTAAAATAAACGCTGCCAAAAGCTTCTGTGCTAGTCCATTTTAAATGAAATTTGGGATGAAAGCCTAAGATTGACTGCTTGTAAGTGTGTTGATAACCTAGGGTGAACTGGGTGTATATAAATCTTTAACTATGTCCATCTTCTATTGAGAATTTACTGTAGCAGTACTCAGATGATGAAAGGTGGTTGTGATTCACTAATAGCCTCATTTAAAAAATGAAATAATACATGCTACTCTTGGCAAAATGTTTGCTGGTCCTATAATATTTAAGTTATAGGCTGCATGATGTAACCTAAGTAATGAATTACTTTGAAAAACATCTGGGATACAGACACACTGTTCAGTGTAGTTCTGGAGTCATTTTTTTGTTGTTGTCGTTATTTTTTGAGGTTTCACTGCCCACTGAAAGAATCTGCATTTGCCTCTCCCTTCCTCTTAATATCTAACAAAAGCAACAGCAGCAGTAGAGGAAGAACAGTGGTAGAGTTGAGTCTAGTTATGTCTGAAGAACAAACATACCAGAGTTGCTACTTAATGTATACCAGCTAATGTTAAACCATGCATGATACTTAAGACTCGTTTCCCCACTTAGAAGAGTATCTGAAAGGGTTGGGGTTTCTGGGGCTGGTGGTGATGTTCAATTCCTCTTCTCCCCCTGCCCTGACCATGTATCTTAGAAGCAAGATGTAGACTGAGCTATGCAATAGTAAGAGGGCAGATTCAGCTCTAAATGCTAGACCTTTCTTTTGACAGTTACTATTGAAGCATTAATGTTGAAGTGTTGTTAGAAAGCAGAACTGTTTCATTAATCTAATGTGCATCTAGAATGGAGAGGTTTTGTTTTCTCTCTTTTTTTTTTTTTTTTTTGTAGATTCGGGAGGAGGACAAGGATCCTGTCTACTTGTACTTTGAAAATATGATGACGTGTGCCAGGGTCCGAGCATATGAACGCAGGAGAGAGAACAAAAAGCAACAGAAACTTAAAAGCGAATCACAGAGTTGTAGCATAAAGGTAAGAAGTCACACTGTAACTGGCATGTACCATAGAGCAGGCAGAAATATTGAAAATTTGGAAGTTAATTTTTTCCCCTAAAAACTCCTATGTGACATGAGGGCTTGACTTATATTTGGTGGTGATAGGGCTGTGGAGCCTGGAGCCTAAACCACCTAGCAGTGCTGGTAAACTTACCCTGTTACTGTGATAGAAAATGTCATGTCTGGGAATTCCTGGCTGCCAAGTGCATTATCGTGTAAGGTTCAAATGTTCATTGTTAAAAGAGCTGTTCTAAGATGAAGATTGTAACTTTGTCAAAGTTAGTGGATGTTTTATGATTCGGGGTGACAGTATGATAAATTAGTTTATTTTGTGATGTGACTTTTTTACTATGGAAGACACACACAGGGTAAACATTTTTCTTGCATTTCTTTTCTCCTGCAGGAGCACGAACCAGAGCTTCAGTCTTTTGAGAAATCAGCCTGTGAGGTAGACAAAGACAATGATAAATCAGGAGGTAAGAGCAGAGTTTTGAGTGTAATTGGACTTCCTGGTAGTTCCACATTTTTGTGGGGTTTTTGTGTTGGCTTTATTTTTTAAAAAAGTTGCAGCTATTGATGAAACGAGTCCATTTGCTGGGGGAGTTATTATGGTTGTCAATAAAAATCTTACAATGTGCTTCCAGTTTCCTGTTTTCTTCAGCAGTTGTGTGTGTGTCGTGGGAGATACAGCAGACTAAATATCCAAGTACTCGCTGCTATTCTAAGGTTAAAATGACCAGTATTACAGTAGCTTGTTTAGCAATAAAAGATAATACTGCACAGCAGACTTGTCTTCAAGAGTGATACTTGGGAAGGAATGGAGATCACTGGTTTTGGTTTGGTTGTGTTTTTGTTTTTGTTTTTTTTTTTTTCCCCTTCCCCCTTTTTTTTTCCCCTTACTATTACTTTGTAGTTACTGAAGAATTGATAAATATCCAAGTGGTTCTGTGAGGACATGATCCTCATGATCTCCACTTTAGAACCATATGGGACAAGGAAACGCCTATATTTTATTTGGAGTTATTTGCTGTTGAATTCTTTTAGTTCAAGTTGAAAGGTTGAATTGAAGATCTGCTACATTATATATACCGGCTCTGACTTTCTAGTTCATAAAGAAGTAGGCTAGGCATCTGTGTTCTGCTTCAGTCTAAAGTGGCCCTAATCATGTTGCGAACTTTAAAATGAGACATATACTAGAGGCATTGTGTCATCCACTAATGAAATATAGCTGCCTTTTTGAGCTGAAGTTTTTCACTGTTTAATGTTTACAAACAGCGCACTCTACATTTAAGGATGGGAATGGAAAAATAATACAACTAGTTGAAAATTCTGGTGAATTGGTAGATGAAATTAAAATGGCCAGGACACAGGGCTCAACATCCTTACAGTTTTGCAAAAAGTGACGTTGGATCTCTAATGACAACAAAAGGTCATGCTTCTGTTACACATCTTCTGCAAAAGAGAGTTCTGCTAGCAACATGTTTGCCCCTCATGCCATTATAGGACACTGGTCCTTTTCTGACTCCAAGAGAAAAGTGCCATCTCTTGAAAAACCAGCGATGCTTTCTACTGCATGTTGGTATTGCTTGGAGATCTTTCATCCATGCACTGAAACAACCCAGCTTTGTTTAGCTTGTGATGCAATGGGATACAACATGAGATGGTATGGCTGCAGGGAATGAACTGTGAGAAATAGTTACATTAGTTTTGCAGTGAGTTTTTGCTTGCTTGTGAAGCTCTGCAAGGGGAAGTGATGCTTTGAGCAGTTCTTTTACTTGTTGTTGCCCTGCAGCTGAGACAAGGGTGGAGGTGTGGGCAGAATAAAACTGTTTGAATATCCAGGTGTTAAAAATGCCACAGTATTGCAGAAACCTATTTCAATTCTTTCTCAGAGAAAAGCTGGTGGTCTTCCCGTAGTGAGGGGGACTCTTCCTCCACCTCCTATGTTCATCACACCACTCCGGGTGGACCAACCAAACTTATCGAGATTATCTCTGACTGCAACTTGGAGGAAGATCACAATAAGATCTTGACCATCTTACCACAGCAAATCAGCAGTAACGCGCCACAGTGCCTCAAAGTCGGTAGCTTCATTATTGAATTGGCTTCGGAACACAAGGCCCAGGATGAGAACCACCCTCCTGTCTACTCCTCCAGAGTGAAAATTTCAGTGCCGTCCTACCAGGACAAGGACAAGAAGCTTGAGATACCTGTCTTGGAGACTCCTGATAGCGGAGTGCCGTCATGCAAAAACCCAGAAAATCTAAAGTTCTCGCGGGCAGACACATTGGATGAACTGCAGGAGAAGTTGCATGGGGGCAAAGGCTTGCCTTTTTATGCAGGGGTTTCTTCTGCGGGAAAGCTGGTCGTCTACAAACGCAAAGCTAATGTGAGCCCCTCGGGCTTAATTCAGGTGGGTCCCTCTGCCTTTACTGTGGAGATTAGATTCAGTTTCATCCAGTATCCCAGAACTCCTTGAAGGGGAAAACACTCTTTTTAATTTGTCTACGTAGTCTTTTGCCTGTCTAGACAAGGATTCTTAGTATCTGGTGGCATTTCTGCATCTCCGTAAGCTTGTCCCTTTCAAGACTGACTCAGTAACAGGAAATCTGATGGTTTAGCTTGTCCTTTTGGCCATTTGAGTCTTGGCAGGCCAAGCACAGCATCTCTCAAGATTTTTGGTGCTTTGGAAAACTCCCTGCAGATGCATTTGATAGATAATACTTCTAAACGAACGGCTGTTAGAGGCCACAAAAAGAATATTTTCCGTGGAACTGTACACTGGGACAAAACTTTAAAATGAAACTGTAAACATTTAATTGCTTTTTGCTACAGTTTACTATTAAGTGTCACTAATAGCCTGCATCCTCTTTGCAGAATAGATGATGTTCATCAAGGGACTTCATAATTCTAAATTCAAAGTGAGTCCTTTCCCTGTAGTCTCATGCTGCCAACTTGGTATTATGAATTGGCGGTAGGAACTGTAGGGCTATGATGAAGATCTTTTTCAGTCAAAGGTATTTGTGGTCATAGTAATTCAGGGAAAGCATATGAATTAGAAAATGAGAGTAAAATTTATTTTCATGACACTTTGCAGATATGGCACCCTCAGAAAGAGAAGCTAGTGGAGAGAAAAAATGTAGAGGGAGATTACTCTTTTTACTGATCAACTTTTATAAAAAGAAGTAAAGACCTTCTTTAGTAGTGTGTTAAATATATTTGGATTTTAGAAGGTATTATCAGGCAACCTCAAAGTAAAATGCCACACTAAAAAAACTTTCCAGTGACCACTAGGCATTAAAGCCTGACATTCAGAAAGGTGTTCTGTTTTTTCTCTCTGCTGCAGTCAGTTACCACTACAACTTTGAATTTGAAGTTAGTCAACTCATCATACCCTAATTATACTATCAAAAGACAGTACGGATAAGAAGAAAGCTGATAAAGCTTTTACAAGCACTTCTAGAGTTTTGTCCCAATGTATATGACTTAAGTATTCTTTCTTCTGTGATGCTAGGTGTTAATTAGGTTTGAGAATTTTATCCAAAATTGTCCTTGAATTTGGGAACCCATTTTTATTCAAGACTGTAGCATAAATAAGGGACAGAAAAAATAAGTGCTAGCTTCATTCTCATGTCAGTGATTTCGTGCTCCTTTGGACCCTGTGGTTCAATGGGAGAGTGAGTGGCATCTAAAATCTCTATTGTAAAGTTACAACAGAGCTGTTTGAAGTTCTCCTGGGCAGTAAGGAAATGAGGAATTCCCATTCTGAATTGCAATGTTTTTTTGAAAAGGACACTGGGAAGTCCCATGGAATGAAACGCCTCTCCAGAGGTGGTGAATTAGCATTCTTTTCACAAAATTTCCCTTTTCCACTTTTTTCAGGTTAATGATAAAAGGTATCCTCAGGCCAAACTGCTTTTGGGACAGATGGGGGCATTACATCCTGCCAATCGGCTAGCAGCTTATATCACAGGCAGGCTGCGACCCACAGTACTTGATATCTCAACCCTCAGTACTGTGATCTCCAAGGTAGCAGCCAGTGCTAAAGCAACTGCTTCTGGGACACCATCAGTCCAGGTGCCCACAACATCAGCTCCCAAAACTACATCTTCCACCAGCACTACTTCAACCCCCACTGTGACGACTCTGAAAACCCATGTCCCAGCACAGAGACAGATAGGTAGGTTGGAACTTATTACTGTGTTTTAAATTGCGTGAAGCTGAAGTAAAAAGTGAGTGTACAGCATTGCTGTTGATTTCTATGCAACAGTGCGTGCTGCCTCTGGCTGCATTGCCTACCTACACTGCCTTTGCAATAAATAACATCTTTAAAGCAGAAAGATTTATTTTGACTTCAGAGTAGATAACAGATGTTGACTATTAGTTATTTTATTAATGCTACTAGAAAATATTTTCAAGAGGCAAGAGTGGATGGAGACACACTGAATGTTAAGTTTGGATTTTTGTTTTGAGAATTTCCTTACTATGATTTTTCAATTGCTTTTCATCAAACATCGATTTTAACTTAAAATGAGTAAAGGATCACTCTAACCTGTGATTCTTCGCTGTTAGTTTTTCTGATGATGTTGCACTTCTAATTGGAATTCTTGTGACCACCAAAGATGTGTGAAGCAGCAGTGAAAGACAAGATGGTCCAAATCTGGATTAGCGAAACAAGAGGTGTGCAGCCAGTAACCACACCAGCCTGTAATCTCATTGGATTTCACAAGCTAAACAGGGTTGGACTTAGTCAGAACTTTGAGTGGAGAAAGAAAAAAAAAAAAGTGTCAGAAGAAGCATGTGGTACTTGTGTCTCAGTTGGTGCTGAAATAGATACCCCAGCATGGCAAGAGAGGAAGTTGCCTTTAATAATTACACTTCGCGTGAGGTTTGGTTTTTTTTTTTTTTCAAAAAAAAAATCTAGTGCCCAGCCACATATTCCCACACATTAATTAAAGATCTGAAGAAGCTTCGCAGGAGAAAAGGATGTTACCTGTGTCCTGGTAAAACTTTAATTTCTGATTGTTTGTTTTGTTTCTTTCTGCCTAAATTTTCATTGCCATGTAAATGGGTGTGTTGTTTTTCTTGTCCTGTAATAAAACTTGTTTTGTGCGTTTATGCAATGTTAAAGAGCTGGCTGCATTTCATTGATGGGTGAACTGATTGTTGCATATATGATGTAAATGTTCTGGCATATTCTGGGTTAAAAATGCTATATGCATAAATAACTAAAATATTTAAGTTGGGTTTGCTCCATAATCTATGCTGTTGTACTTGCATGTAGGCATCTGGAGTGATGTAGGTGCAGTATTCTGATCCCTTGGGGATCAAGGGATGAGGAAAAGGATCTTCCTTTTCTAGTGAACTTCCTGTTGGTTAAATTTGTCCCATCCAGTCCTCAGTTGCACATATGTCACTGCAATGAGAAGGGGACATGGCAAACTCTTTTATGTCCCTGCTGCCCCTTTCCCCCATGGCTAAGATGTGGATACAGAAGGGGGATGAAGCTGAGAAGCAGTGAAAAGAGGAAGATCACACAAGCTGTTACAGGAAGAATTGGAAGTTTAGAAAATAGTTTGAGCCCATTATTTCATTTAGGTGTTTGTTTTCCTGTACTGTAATGAGAATTGTCTGTTCGTAGCTTCACGATAAAGAACAGCCCCTTGAAACCTGATTCTTTTGTGTGGCCAGGAAGAAATGCAACAAAAAGCTATAGAAGTGGAATAAAGCAGACAGATTTCTAATGTGTAAGGCATGTTTAGGATTGCCATAAAGGTTTCGATTTAATTACGTGGTACAAAGAAGATGGAAGGTCAACTTCATGTTGAAATTACAATTGTAGCACCTCATGAAAGGCAAAGAGGAAATCTGTTAAAATTTTGACCTGCAAGTTTTTATTTGCAGCTGCCCGACCCTCACCTGGTGGTGTGTTCACACAGTTTGTGATGAGCAAAGACGGAGCTCTACAGCAGAAGATTCCTGCAGCGAGCACACGCCAGCCTCTGTCAGGGCCACAGAAGTTCAGTATCAAGCCTACGCCGATAATGGTTGTTGCTCCTGTGGTTCCCTCAAGGCCATCACCAGCTCAGTGCACAGTCTCTCCTGGGGTCAGTACAGTCACCACCACTTCTTCTGTTTCTGTGGAAAGTACCAGTGTGGCAGCATCTACTGTGACCACTCCTAGCCAAACAAGAGCTAATGAACCTGCCTGCTCTCCTTCTGCAATTACAGTCACAGCTGTTTCTGCAACACCGGCAATCAACACTTGTACTGCTCCCTCATCCACCGCTCCCACTGCCACTGTGAACATAACACAAGCAACAGGGACTGTTGCACCAGTAGCAACCGCACCATTCCCTAAAACTGTAGTAACAACACCAACTGTTACTTGTCCTGTTATCACAACATCCACTTCCACAGTTGTGCTGACAACAGCTGCAACAACTACATCCGTGGTGGCCACACCAACTTCCTCTGCTGGCTCTGTTCCGATTATACTGTCAGGAGTTAATTCAAGTCCTTCACTGAATCCAAAAAGAGGTAAGGCCTAGGTGCTTTGGGCTATTACTGCAAACACTTCCTTATTTTATTCTGCCTCCTTAGTAGCTGGAATAGAGCCTGCAACTGTAGAACCCAATTTAAATATAGCTTCACTTGCCTCACCCTTCTTTCCAAAATAGGATACGAAATGTCATCTCTTAAATTGCTTGTTTTATTCCAGCCTGAGCCAGTAGAGGAGGAAGAAAATGTAGCTATCTGTTCAGTGACTGCTGTGAAATTAGCTGGAAGTCTCACATCATTTCTTGGCCCATAGAAATGTATAGCACAATTATGATTGCTAGAATATCATGGTTGGTATAGAGTCCAAGACGTAGATTTGGAATTACTCCCTTGTCGTTGACATGGAAGTCTTCTCAGCCATGATTGAGAAATGTCAGTGGAATGGCATGAAAAACACTGTTCTGGCCTGGTTGTTTGTTTGTGTTTCTGTGAATAAAAAGAGAAAAAAATGCTTTCAAACAAATTTGGTGAGATCCAGTTGTTTCCAGAATATTTGTGCTTGTTTTTATTAAGCATAATGCCTGGTTTGTAGGCTGTTCTCTTAAGCTGATTTTTATATGACATTTGAAATGTTTCAGAAGATGCTGCTCCACAAGCTGTAAATAAGACCCCTCAGAAGATGTCTCCTGGAACAGAGAAACGTATAGGACCTCGACTGTTGCTGATTCCAGTGCATCAGACATCTCCTGCTTTGCGACCGCTCAACAATGCCCAGCTTGCTCAGAGGCAGAGGATGATCCTTCAGCCTCTCAGGAGTCCTGGTGCTGTGAACCTCTTTAGACATCCTAATGGGCAGATAATCCAGCTTGTCCCTCTGCATCAGTTTCGAGCCGCAGGTGCCCAGCCCAGTGTCCAGCCAGTGATGTTCCGCAATCCAGGTACAAAGTCCAGTGTTTACTTTCTTGACTGACAAATGTGTCACCCAGAAATTAACAGTATAATAAATGTCTCTGTGATGCTCCTTTTCCATGCTGGAAGTAATTGAACAGAGTCTAGTTTGGTTCTTGGTGAGTACTTGAAGAACATAGTGTAGCTGTTCGGATGTAGTGCAACTTAAATACCATGTGTCTAAAATACAGAAAGTGCAGTTAATAGCTAAGTCGCTACAATTTGGGAGCTCTGTGCAGCAAGGAAAAGGGCCTCTGTGTGTGTGGCAATGGAATCATGCCCATTGTACTGTCATCACTTCAAAAAAATCCTGCTGATGTGGCAATTCAAAAATAATTCTTGTTGGAGATTCTCTTAAATGAACTGTTACCTGTGTCTCATTGGATGTGCTGCTTTGGGTTTTTTTGTTTGTGTGCAGGTTTGTTAGTGCTTTTACAGCAGATATTCACATCAAATGTTATACTGTAGTACAAAATTGCTGGGTTTATTTCCTCCTTAGAGTGTGAGAAGAAAGATAAGTTTGATTTTCAGCTGTTTCTCTAGTGCATAGTTGAAGACAGGGTTGGAAGAGTTAGAAATTGCACATATCTGATGGGAAATAGGATAGGATGCTTGTTGAACATACTACTGTACATATTTGTAATAAAAAACCAAACATGTTTATAAACAAAATATATTTCAAATGCATGTTTACTTTCCAGTAGGATTTTTCTTCTGTTCTCCCTTTATAAAGAAGCATCTTGAGAGGGAGGCAGAATGGTGTTGGAGAGAGGCAAGAGCAAGTACAGTAAATAAGAAAATGTAGGGAGGAGAAAAAATAATCCGGTGCCTTAGTTGAGGTTTGAGCATGGACTGTAGTAAAGATTCGATCAAAAAGTTCATTGAATTCCTTTCTGGTTTGGGGCTTTTGCTGTATAAGAGACACTGGTTGTGAGTAGAGGTATTTTTCCTTTTTGTTTTACGGAGTTACGAAACACCGTAGAAGAGTTCATTAATGTGAAAAAGATTGTGGTATAACCATGTAATCTTGTCGTTTGTGGAAGTCTTTTTCTGAGAGGGAAAAAAAGATTTTTTTATTTTTTTTATTTTTTAATGAAAATCCCTATTTTCCTGTTTTCCAGTAAATGGGAAAGTAAAATGCAGATGACTTCAACTAAAATACAATGCCTTTTTTGATTAAAAAGCTTTATGCTAGAACTTACCATTAAACCTGCTAGTTTTAGAGTAGCCACCTCACGTATTTTATTGGGATGTTCCATATAAAAATTCATTAGCTTCTATGTCTTTATGCAGTACCAGCTCTGTCACTGAGAACTAGTGGTCAAACACATTGTGATCCTTGAGAATGCTGGCTGCTTCTAATACAGCATGAAATACTAAAACTAAAAGAAAAAAAGTGCTTTGAGGAAGTATTAGTTGATGTTTTGTTTTCTTCACAGGATCTATTGTAGGAATCCGCTTGCCTGCACCTTCTAAGCCTCCAGAGTCACCCGTGTCTCCCACTTCCTCTGTGTCTTCCACTTCTGCCACAAATTCAGCTGTACAAACTGCAGTACCCAAGTTGTCCCCTACATCTAACCTAACCACTCAAGCATCTTCTGTTCTTCCTTCAGTAGCAAGTTTTGTGTCACAGGCAGGCACTCTGACCCTGAGGATCTCTCCTCCTGCTGCGAGCAGCGTGACAAATCAAACAGCTTCCGAGTCTAAAATAAGCTGCAGCTCCGGTGGTCTGCCAGCTACCACTGCTAATCTCATACCTTTACAATCTGGTAGTTTTGCTTTACTTCAGCTCCCTGGACAGAAGACTGTGCCAAACTCCATTCTTCACCATTTTGCATCTCTTCAGATGAAGAAGGATTACAGGAAAATATGCAAGAAAGAGGACTCGGGTGCTGCTCAGCAGAAGGAGAATGGAAAGGCTTCACGCTCAGGTGACACTGAAGTTAGAGCGTCTGAGGTCACAGTGTCAGATAGGAAACAACAAAAGGAGTCGTCAGTTAACCGCTCAAATAATGTTGAAACGTCAGCATCTGGCACAGTCACACCCAATAGAAATTCTGCTACGTTAGAGATGGTGGAGAAGGACTCAAAGGTGCTGGAGAGTTCTTGTGATGATAGCTCTTCTTCTCAGCATGATGTTTCTGCAGATGTCATATCATCTGATCATTCGTACATCAGTGAGAAGCCAAATGATGAGGAAGAAAAAGAGGCTTCTGAGGAGAAAGAGCATTCTCTCAGTTCTGAAACTGTAGCGGAGGCTGTTCCATCTAACTCTGAAACTCTTTGCGGGTCATCAGATCAGTCTCTGATTGCTGCTCTGGATAATGCACATCCACAGAGTCTTGAGAATCAAGAGACTGCACAGTTGAAGAACCGTGGAAAGGAACAAACACATGCTGAACAGGAAGAGAAACCAGTGAAAGAGCAGGAGGGAGGTGCACAGACACAGATGAATGAGGACAACAAGGCAAGTTCTGGGCAGTCACAGCATCAACAAGAGCAAGATACACAGCTGGAGAACAAGAAGGAACAGAGAGGGACTGAACTGTCTCAGAACAAACAACAACGCCAGGGTGATGCTGTGCAGCCAGATACTGAAAGGAAGGAGTACAAGGGCTCTACAGAAGCAGAAAGTGTAAGAGAGAAAAAAGGAAGTAAGTCTGAAACAAGTTCTGTGAAAGAGCAGGATAATGCTTCAGGAGAAGAGCATACAGTCACTACTGAGGAAGGCAAAGCAAACATGGCTAGGCAGGAAGGCAGTAACAACAAAGAACAAGATGCTTTTGATTCTCGTGAAGAAATCAAAACAGGCCATGATATTGTAACACATGTCAACAGTTCCTGGAGCAAAATATCTAGCATTGTACCCACTTTAGAAAATAAAAGTGAGGTGGATAACAAAGCTGATACATCTGAGAAAAGTGACTTCCCAACACCAGAACAGAGGGCACAGGAAGCTAGGCATGAGAAAACGGCTTACATGCCCACTGTTGATATAACTGCTGATGATTCGGAAGAGGAAGAAGAGGATGATGATGATGAGGATGAAGAGGATGAAAAAACTGATGATTCTGCTGATGAGATGCTGGATGGTGCTTCTGACTTCCCAAGTGAAGAGGAAGTGGATGTTGAAAAAATGGTAAGCATTTAACTATTTATGAAAGGATTTTTTAAATTGACAAACTAACATGTCACAACCCATGGATTTGAAAGACACAGTATGATGTTTGTGTTCTGGACTTCAGTTTCTTTAGAAAGTCTGAATCAGGGTCCCATGTGGAAATGTCTTTTATTTCTTCTTAGTTGCTTGGTTTTTTATAGGTAGCATTGTAGTGGCCTTTTAGAAATTGTCCGTTTTTCAGATAACAGGAGTTATATTAGGCAAACTGTGATAGAATTGTTTCATGTTGTTTTCCTTCAGCATTTACTTAAGCAACTTCGTTCCTTGTAATATGACTTATGATCCTAAAAAGTAGTAGCCAGTCTACTATTTCTGATATTTTAAGCTGTCTCCTTCTAATTAATTTTTGTAGCCCTTAGCTAACGTTTACTTCTGGAAGGAATATTTGAATCTCTCCTTAAATTCCTCTTGAAATTTAGTAATGCATTTCAGAAGTGTGTGAAAGCTGTTATTCCGTATTCAGCAGAAAACAAATTGCTCTGGAAGTCACAGAATAAGGGTAAAATGTTGTTAGTATACTTAAGATATGTTTAGATTTTAATACTCATAGAATTTCCATTACTTTTCATCCCAAAATTAAAAGAAAACAATCTGATGTGTAACTCCTTGATGCACTTTTTATACATCAGCATGTGACTTAAGAAACAGCGTGTTGTTACTTAAAATTTACAAAGTTGTGGTTTTGTGAGTCAGTCAAATGGACATAAGAAATGTGGTAGCCTTTTATTGGGATGAGATAAAAATGTGAAGAGAAAGATTAAACTGCAGAACTGAAGGACAAACAGAAATAGGAGAGATGATGTGTCTTCAGGAATTTGAAAGTATATAGTTTTTCAAGCCGCTTTGTGTTAATGTAGTCCTCTTGGAGTTGAAAACCAAATTATACTTCTTTTTCTTCTGACCATATCCAGAGTAACTCAACTGAGTCAGCAACTCTGGATTTTAGAGAATCTATTTAAATTCCAGAAAAATTGACTAATTGGTTCATATTCTGGCTCGCTGTACTTGGGCAAGATGCTAGCATCTCAGCTGCATGAAGGGTGAGGAAACTGAAAGCTGATGCAATTTTTGGAAGTTCTTTCAAGCTGGAAACTGAGCTGTTGCTGTCTTGTCTTAAGTCAGGCTGTGACAGTTTGCTAACTCCTGTATCCTTCAGTAACTTTAGCAGAGTTACCGAGTTTTGAGAACCACAGTTAATTCATGCCTGATGCCAGATAAACTTTCCAGACAGCATAGCCTTATGAATCTGTTGGTAATCCAACAGGTAGTGTCTAGGTCACAGAGTATCCTGTTATCAGGGTTGATGTTTTAAAGATGCATTTTCTTTTGTCCTGAAAAAGGATGATGAAACAAAAAAATTATTATTAGAGATTATAAGAAATGTTTGTTTTGGAAGAAACTTGCCATGCAGGTTTTGACTAATAGGGTTTGGTAAAAGCCATGTGAGGGTATGTGTTCACCATAAGCTCACACAAACATGAGTAAGCTAGCTTTGGTTCTAGAGCAGGAAAGCTGAGGAATGAGATCTGAGAGGACTGTAAAAACCTGTCTGGAATTTGGGTGAGTTCTTGGTTTGTTAATCTGTGATGCCTGCAAGTTAAGTTAGCATATCAATGCCTAATGGGCTACTCACTTTTAAGTCTAAATATCTAAGTCTCTGTTATTTTTCTCTGGGATGTACTCTTTTATCAGCGTAGTGCTTACAGGACAAGCTGCACTGGTGTTGTTTGTCAGACTGGATGAAGTCAGATCTTAAAAGCAGACTGCTAGAGGATGTTTATCTGTTTCATTAAGCTAGTGGAAACATAGAGTGTACATGCATGTCCACTCATACTTTTGTTTAGTGGAAATACTAATGACAGCTCTTTCACTACTAGTTTGGAATATGGACTGTTTTCAGTTGCTGAGGAAGTAGCCATTTAAAAACCTCAGAAAACTCCAGTGAGAGTCAGGATGATTGTGATGATTGCTACTTACCTGTAGTAGCTATTACTGTTTCTTTTTTTAGTACCTTTCCCCATGCTGGTTCTCCTTGCAGTAATGACTTAAATGTTCTTAATTTTTGCATATCGATGGTCTTCAAATTGCCTTCCTACCTTGTGCTAACTTTGTGTACTTGACTTAAGAGGCTCTTGTAGAGGACTCCTCAATAGAAAGAGAGAAGCTTCCTGAGATGGTATCTTTGCCTTTTTGCATTTCCTACCTGAATTGCCTCAAGAAAAGCTTAGGAGGGTTGATGGTCCTTGTTTTGGTGATACGGATAAACCCTTAAATATCTCTATAAACAAACTCATTGATATCAGGACATGTTGTCTGAACAAATTCAAGTGCAATGGTCTGGGACATGATGTTAAACTCTTAATCTTCAAGGCATGATGATTGCACTCAAAATCCTTGTTGAGAATGACTTCTTGGCGTGGGCTAAAAGTCACAGGCTGTGTCTGTGAATTGTTCATGTGAGTTATTGTTGGGTTAAGCCAAAACCATGCCAGGGATTGTTCTAGTATTTTAATGTTACAGATAGAATCCAATGGCCCCTTTTAATTTACTAGTCTAAACATAGCTTCTGTGTCTGGCAAGTTATTTTATTTTAAATGTTGTTAAAACATGTTTTTCAATCATTCTTTTTCTGAGCTGAACTTTAAATTGTAAGGAATTACTATGAATTACTATAGCGTTGTAAGTTTAATAAAAAGTGCAAGTCACATATTTTGTGGATGATTTAAGTTCTAACAATCTGTCGCATGTTCTGAGCTTTTGGTACAGGCTATGTGTGAAATCTGCAGACATTGTAGCATAGAAGGCAGATCCAGAAATGAGGCATTTGCTTGGGTAATTCTAATGACAATTGTTGTCATCTACCCTCCTTCTTTCTCAGTGCAGTTGCTGAGGGACTCTCTGCCGTCAGGCAATTTGGTCTTCAGGAATCAGCAATAGGGGTGTAGGCTGCCAGGAGCAGACAGATTAGAGGAGAGTGCTTAGAAACAGGCGCTGAAATGCAGAGGGAAAAGTGCTGACATTTCTGAAGCAACTTTGAGACTTCCACTGCAGTGCAGGATTGCTCCTCCTTTGTCTCCATTCCTTAAGATAATTTACTCTTACAAGCTCAAAGGCATTTTGTAACTACAGGACTTGTGGAAAGACTGATGGTAGAAAGGTAGGGCTTCCACAAGCATTTAGACAGTTTTACACCCCAACAAGAAGTCATGCTATGCTGTGAATAGGGTTCAACCGATGGCAGGTTGGCATTACTTACACATGAACAGGTGTTCTTATGGCAGACTTTTGGTGGACCTGCTTCTGACAATCTTTGTGACTGATTTTTTTTTTTTTTTTCCTGTTGTTAGGAAGTCAAGGGTAGAGAGGAAAGATTTACCATCCTGAAGTATTTTTCCCTTTGTTGTTAGATGTGAGAATGAAAAAAAGTAATGTTTTCTGCTTTACATATGTCCACATTCAGAATTTGTAAACTTAAAGATGTGAAATTCTTGGGGGGCAGTGGAGAGTTTTTTGCTGCTATTGTTTTTCCCCTCGTCTTCCATGAAAAAGATGACATGTCTCTGGCTTTAAATACCATTTTTTCTGGTACAATAGCATGTAGATAAGATCCAGCTCTGGCTGGATAATCATTGTCAGCCCTTTGGGTAGCCCAGTGTAACATGTCAGCACTTAAAAGCTTTACCATGGTGGTGTTTCTACAGTAAGTTAATTTCCTGGCATTTTTTTCCCCTCACTCTTGATTGTAACATCTTTTGAACTACCCTGCATGTCCCCCTTCCCTGCAGTGTGATGATGCCCAAATGTAGTTTAGACAGAGTAGTCCTGCCCACTGAAGAAAAACAGTATGTACCTCTTGCATGTAGAACCACAGCAATGATACTGTATAAAATGGAAAAACTAGAGAAAATATCAGGACGCTTCCAGCATCAGGGAGGCTTTATGGATGGCCCAGGAGAGCAGGCAAGAATGAGAAGTGCTCTATGTATAATGAAATACAACTATGTTGTCCTAAAATGTGACTTGTTAAGATTACACTTGTAATATTTTCAACATAATGATATGTATCTATTCTGTGGAAGCAGCTGTGTTACATGTTTACACCACGTGTTGTAGCTCAGCAGAAAATCTGCATCTGGAGAGGTGGTGCAATTTTGATAGCATCCAACTTATTTTCTTTAGCTTTTCATTCCCTCCTCTCTTACCAGTTAGTGGACTTAAATTTTAGTTTCCAGCTTATGTCCTTCTCAGCTGAAGAGTTCTTGGAATTTCAGCACTCTGGGTCCTCTAGTACATCTTCTAGTTCACTCTGTGAACCCCAGCATAGCAGTTAAGGACTTCTAGAGAATTTGGAAATCCTCAGTTGTGTTTTTGATTTTCCTGCCTTTCCGTGATCTTATACAAATGGGTCAGTTTCTGCTTTTCAATGGGGAAGCTACAGAATTGACTTGAAGGCAACTTGGCTGCAACTGTTGTCTTGAGAACAAAGTGACTTGATAAAAAAATGCGTCCAAAAAGTTGCTTCTGTTAATTAAAACAATCTTGACAAAGTCTGTAACAAGTTGTCTTGTTGCTGGTTTGAGCCCAGAGGGCAACTGTTCACTCACCTTTTCCCTTCAGGAATGGGAAGGAGAAAATAGAATAAAGGGCTCTGAAATCAAGGTAAGGACAGAGGGAAGGGATGACTTGACCAATACATCTGGCAAAAGATGGACTCCTTAGGGGAAGGAAAAGAACGTGACTTTAATTCAAACACTAACAAAACCAACAAACACAGTCTGACACAGAGAAGCATTACCATATCTTAAAAACATCTGCCCCCACCTCTCTCTTCTTCCTAGCTGCAGCTCTGCTCCCAGTCTCTACCTCCTGCCCCTCCAGTGGCACAGGGGGCAGGGGATGGGGGTTGTGGTCAGTCTGCTGCTGCTTCCTCCTCAGTGGGGGAGGACACCTCGCATTCTCCCCTGCTCTGGTGTGGTGCCTCTCTCAGGTGAGACAGTCCTCCACAAACTTTCTCTGGCATGAGTCCTCCCCCTAAGATGCAGCCGTTCCCAGGCTGCTCCGGCGTGGGTCACCCCTGCGTGTTGCAGTTTTCCCGGCACTGAACTACAGCATTAGGGGCTGCTTTTCCCCTCAGAGTCCCAGCCTCCTTCAGGTGCAGCTGCCTGCTCCCGTGTGGGCTCTTCCACAGACCTCTGTGGGTAGCAGGGGGCAGCCCTGCCATCTCACCACGGGATACAGGGGGGCTTCGCTCCAGCACACCTCTCCCCTTCCTCCTCCTTCCTTCCACTGACCTCTGTCCAATAGCTGTCCTTCTCGTAACTCTGCCTCACAAGTTCCCCCCTAACCCTCTCTCAGGTTCCCCTTCTTAAATACGTTATCACAGAGGTGCAGCCACCATTGCTAATTGGCTTGGCCCTGGCCAGAGGTGGGTCCAATTTAGAGCCGGGGGAGCTTCAAGAAGCTTCTCACGGGCCACCACTGTAGCCCCCTGCCCTGCTACCAAAAACCCCGCCACACAAATCCAGCATACAAGTAAAGCAGGTGTGAGGAGGAGTTGTTGAAAAATTGCTGACTGGTTGCATAAGTGATATTCTTCAAGTGAGATTTTTATAGTAAAACTTGGGTTTCTTATGTTTCTCTAAGCATACCGAACAAAACCAAAGCTGTGTACTGGTCGCAGGCAGTGTTTGAAAATTATTGAAATACCTATACTGAAATGCAATGTAGTCTTAACTCAGTCACAATCTCAGTAGCCTCTGCATAGGTGTTCTGGATCTAGACTGCAAGCAGTATTTGGCTGGACCTCGCCAAGGTCCCAGGAACAGGGCGGCTCCTGACTTCCATTCTCCTGCTGCCCTGGGGAGCAGTGGTAAGGTGTAGCTCCTGGCCAGCTGGTCAGGTTCAAAGTGATGCACTGCTTCCCTGGTGTAGACAGTTCATTTTCTCTGTGCTCTACCTGGTCCCTGTGCTAATGAGTCTTGCTTTGTGGGAGAATATTTTACAAGATGGAACAAATAAGGATTTTAGGGGCTTGTGTGCACAGAGAGAAACAGTACTTCTTTAAGTTCCTGCCAGTGCCATACTTCAAAGTCAGATGAGAATTCGTTTTACCTCCATGCTGCTCTTCATATGCATAACAAGAACTGTAATGGCATAATACAGATTCACAGCTGCTCTGAAGGAAAGCTGCAAGAAACCCCAGAAGTGAATAGTAGCAGAATAACTTATTTATCTCCTTTCCACATACAGAACTCAGCAGAGATCAGAGCTGCTGTCTTGGGCAGAGTGGAATGGTGTCTTTAAAGTCAGCATGTGTGCCGTAGTTTAACCCCGGCCAGCACTTCAGCACCACACAGCTGCTCACTTACTCCCTGCCCCAGTGGGATTGGGGAGAAAACTGGAGGGGGGGGTGGAAAGTAAAACTTGTGGGTTGAGATAAAGACAGTTTACTAGGACAGAGAAGGAAGGGAAAATACTAATAGAACATCCAAAACAAGTGATGCACAATACAATAGCTCACCATCCCCTGGCCGATGCCCAGCCAGTCTCTGAGCCGGGGTGTGCCCTGGCCAACTTCCCCCCTGTTTATATACTGGGCATGACATGACATGGTATGGAATGCCTGTTTGGGTCAGCTGTCCTGGATGTGTCCCCTCCTAACCTCTGCTGGCAGGGCGGTGTGAGAAGATGAAAAGTCCTTGTCTTACTGTAAACGCTGCTTAGCAACAACTAAAACATCAGTGTGTTATCAACATTACTCTCATCGTAAATCCAAAACCCAGGACTATATCAGTTACTAGGAAGAAAATTAACTATTGCAGCTCAAACCAGAACAAAGGGTTAAAAATACATTTGAAGGAAAGAGTGAGATTGTTCTCTGAGGCTCGTAATTTCTCACCTAAGGTCACTCTCCTTGCTCTTCTATTTCTCTTTCAAAAGACATGTCTTTTTAGAAGCATAGGGATAGTAGGTCACATGAGAGTATGCACAGCAATTTGTAGAAGTAAGGATGCTTTTCTGTTCAGATCTAGCAGCTGTAGCTGATCACCTGAGCATTACTTTTCTTCGTTTCAGCAGTAATATCTTGATATTTCATAGTACAGGAAGAGCTGTATGCTTCTCTGCAAGTGAGCAGTTTAGAAGTTTATACCTCTCTCTAGACAGAATCTATAGTACCAACACTTTGTAAGACCCCTCATGATGTAAATGGAAGGTGATGGAAGACTTGGGAGTATTTGAGAGTGGTTTTAGGGAGAGGGAGAATGCTGCATGGTTTCATTCTTCTTAAAAGACTGGAAGATTCTACAGGTATTATTGCATATGTGTGTAAGTAGACACTGAAATATATGTATGATATTAACAGACACTTTTATATATATATTTTTATACATGCACGCATACACTCACTATATACTTTACTAAAGGCAATGTTGCTACAAAGTATACATTGCTATACTTTACAAAGGTTATATCCCCAGTGTAGCCTTTAGTAAAAGAGGGCTTGCTGAATTTTTCCTACAGATTCTGTTTTCAGTTTTCTGTAGCCTGGATCACACAGCCATGGGATATGATGTATTACACAAGGTTAAAAAAAATACTGATAATTTGATCTGGCAGCATGATTCACAGTGGTGGTTAGTCTGTGGTGTCAGTAACTAAGGTAGCAACTTTTATGTTCTTTGGATTTTACATAGCCCTGGTGTGAGTTGTGGGTTTTGGGGTTGTATTGTTCTTCCTTTTTTCATTTAGAAAAGGTTGTGTTTAGTCAGTATGAAGAAGCTAAATACTATATTGAAACGTTAGGTTATTAGAGATCTTGCTGCTTTGTTTATCAAAAAGGAAATTATCAGCTAAGATTTACTGTCTGGTTATAAATTGAGTCCCTTTAAATTAACACAGCTGCAAATTTCACAGGTCTAAATTTGAAATGTGTATCCTTAACCACATAACTAACATAAGTTGGTTATGCTTGTGTGGTAATTTAGGCTGCTCTTGTTTGTTTTCATTATAATGCTGTATTTAGCCTAATCTATCGTCAGCTAAGTGCAACATTTTCTCCTTTCTAATCAGAGTTTCTTAAAACAGCAGTGAGTTGCAGATAACTACTTTAAATAATCAGTACCATGAAAAGTGTTTATTAGAGACTACTTGCTGATCCAGTATTGCACGTTGCTTTTTTTTTTTTTTCCTGTTCTGCACTTAGGGTTTTTTTTGTGATTAACTGTTTGTATCAATTTCAGGTAAGTATTCAGTTTGGAAAAGGACGAGATTGCAGATTGTGAAAAAGAAAACGACAAAGAGAAGGAAGGAAGGACAGAATAGAATAATAGGTGGGGAGGGCAAGATTGGATTAGTTCAGGGAACTGGGTGAAATAGAGTACAGAATAGAAATATAATTACATTTTCTTAATTAAGGAGCAGAAAGAGTTCTGCATTCTGTAAGCAGACCAAAGATTATAATATAAAAACTGTAATACAGAAAAATTGGTTGAATAAGGCTTGTTTTGCTTTGGGGAGGGGGGGGGGAATCACCTGGTATTACAAATGGCCACAAGACTGATATTTAACTCTTGTAGTTGCTACAGCACTGCAGTTATTTTCTATTTCTGTCTTCACAGATAGTAGCAATTTTTCTTGATCAGACAAGCATGTAGAAAAAGTACTCTTCAGAATATCATAAATATTTAAAATAATTATTGGGCAGTGTTTTGGAAGAGCCAAAGTGATACTTTTCTTCATCTAAGCGGTTTACTGTATGACCCAAAGAAGCCTGGCTGGATGATGTTCTGACTGTTGCTTTCTTGAGTGTCAGAGACCATTACCAAGCTGATAACTATCTTGACTTGTGTCAAAAAATGTTAATTACCAAGAGTCTACAGCAGTAGGTTGTAAAGGCAGTTTAATCTTATTTGAAGATGGAGGCAGGAATGCTCTGTCCTGTGAAAGCTTTTTGTCTCACCCATAGTAAAAGCATAAATGACAGAGATGGGTTTTGCCCTTACCAAAATTCATTTTGCAGAGTTGCTAGTGGGAGGAATTCCTAGAGGTGACAGTTAAAATAAACACCTGCTTAGCACTGTTTATTGGCCAGCGTAGCTGGAGATGTTGATTCTTTAATGGTTCTTAATGTTATAATGTAATCTCTTTTGAGACTGAAGTGAAACTGTTTTGGCCTGAGCTCTATTGCTAAGTAGATACTCATTTTAAAAAACAAAACAAAAACTGTTCCAGGATGCGTGTGCATACAGTGAGGATGACGAGCAGGTGGACATTGAGACCGTGGAGGAGCTTTCAGAGAAGATTAACATTGCCCGTCTGAAGGCCACAGCTGCTAATATCCAACCTTCCAAACAGAAGTAAGCATCCTTGGAGAGCACTACAGTTTTGTATTTTATTGATGAGCTGGCGCTGAATGAACCCATTAAACAACAGGTTTAATGTGATGGTAAGATAAAGCAAGGCTTGTGTCAGGTCTTCCTGAGCACTGGTGCTTCCCAGTGTCTGTGAGGATGGGGCTGTCAGAACTAAGAGTAGATTTGAGGTGTCCTAGCCTTTTTTTTTTAACTCCCCTCTAATTAATTTGTTCATGGGGATGTGTATCTTGTAAAATTATTAAGAGTGAATTGCCTCCCTTCCTACAAACTAAATGTGAGCAGGGTCATCTTTGTTTTAAATGTGATTTTGCAAGCTTTGTTTATTCTTGCTGGTGAACTTGTTATTTTTAGGCAGGAGCAGTCATTGGCTTAATCCCTGATCCTGTAAATGAAACCTTTGTCTTTGTGACCGTTGCCCCAGTGAAGAAAGTATTTTCTTTTTTACTTATAGTCTGCCATGGTTGGATAGCTTGGCCTGGTTTATTTTTTTCTGTTCTTTTTATTTGTTTGGTTTTGTTGCTGCCCTTGCATTTATAATGACAAAATACAAAGTAAAAACATGGCTTATTTGAGGTACATAAAGATGGTCATAGCTATTTCTCAGTGGCACCAAGCAAAAGAATGGGGAACACTGCATCCTTAGTTCTTTTTGTTTGAAGAATTTTTTTGTAGAAACTTTGAAACATCTGATTGGTGATATTATATACCTCCCAGATAGTTCCCAATTGTTTTTTTTTTTCCTTCAGAGATACAGCTCAACTTTTATCCTCAGATGGTGACTTTGCTATAAATCGGGAAGATCTTTTAGTGAGAGAAAAAAACAGGTGTCATGTTTTGTAAAAAAATAATTCTTCCAAATGTGTGTTGTTCTTTGTTTTCTTGAAGCTCCTAAGATATGAGGAAGCTGCTATTTTATATTAGGATAGTAATAAATGTGAGGGGTTTGGTTGGTTGGTCTTGCTGGGGGAGGGATTGCTCTGCCACCTGTATTGAATCTGTGTTTTTTTAAAAAAGAACCACAGCATAATTAAAAAAAAAAAAAAAGTACTTTCTGTAGCTAACAGTCACAGGCTGAATTTATTCTCTTTGGCATATAGTGGAATAGTTTGTCTTTTGCACTATGGGTTAATTTTGAGCTGTTCTGAAAGCTGTAATTTTTTCCAGGATGATGGCGTTGGAGATAGAGTTCGTTTTCTTGAGAAAGCTCAACAGTATCCTGCTTTCCTGTAGTTTTTTAACAAGGAAGAGTTAATTTCAAGGATAAGAATGAGCAATTATAGGCTGTTGGAATGTAGTTAATGAGGATAGAGTGCATGAGATGAGTAGTGTTGGGAAAAACTTTTTACCTTTCTTCCAGATACCATGCTCGTAATTCTTCGGATGAAAAATTATCAGAAAAACCTACGAAGGTATATGTTTGCTCTCCTCTTTCCTTTTGGTATCACGCCTCCATTTTAAAGATAACTTTCATCTCAAGTGCAACTCTTAACGCGATTTATCTACCTTCCATATATTTATGATTAAATGAGAGAAACCAAATGTGTATATGAGGGGGGAAGGGGCTCAGTCCGAATGTCACTAAAGGACTGCTACTGGCATCAGTGGGTTTCAGATTCAGCTTTATGTGTGGGAGGAATATCTGCCTTTTATTAGTACGTTTGCTTAGGTTTTGTGTTCTTGGCGTAAGTAGTTTTTACAGCAACATAAAACAATGAACAACTGATATGTTTTCATGTGTTGAGGAAGACAGTGTGTAGGATTATACAGGCACAGCACTGGGCGAATGATTTCTGAAAACAATGGTTTAAGTAATACATATTTAGGCAAGTTAAAGATAACACAGAATCCTTTCAACCCAAAACTTACTGCAATCCTTCCGAAGCTTGCGCTGTATTTTGGGGTGGCTTTGAAGCCAGTTTTACTAACTATCCATGATAACTATCTGTGATGCACTTGATGTCAGATCTAGAGCTACCTGCTGGGGGGGTGGCTTTGAGGCGGGGTGTGAGCCTGGTGTATGAGCCTGATGTATGTCTTACACATTAGAGCAGACTGGTATGTATGCTTTTGCCTGGGGTGGGGATGGGTTTCAGGATGCTCTGCCTGCCTTGCCTCCTCCATGTATTCTCTCTGCCCTTGAAGTTACGGCATGAGGCCCGTCCTTGAAAGGAACCTGATGCCCAACACAAGGGCAAATGCAGTTGCAGCCTTCCTGTGAGGGCAAAATGGATGTCAAGAGCCAGGTTTCAGGAGACAGTCTTTCAGATTCCTCCTAAGGCCAGCAAGCGCATAAATAATATCACTGGACCTGAGGAGTCTTTCCACTGATTTACTGGGGCTTGGAGCAGACCTAAAACAATGCTAAAAACCTACTTTTTAAGTATTACTTCATTGTGAAATAAATAGCATAATTGTACAAAACCTGTAAGAGTAATGATGAAATAACAAACCTTCAAATCTGTAGAGATTAGTAATTATTGCCTGTCAGCCTTTTTGGAAACTTAAGCAAATTCAAAATCAGAGCCTGTCTTTGAAACTTTCTGTTTCCTGGTAGATGTCTGGGGTGATAAGTTTCCATGCCGTCTTTCTCATTCTTATCTGCAATGTCTCTTGGCCCCAACTCGTATATACTCATGAAACAAAATAGAAATCAAACTAGTTTAACTCTGGGGAAAAATTCCAGCGTCCGGTATTTGATGAGATTGTTTCATTCATTACTAGGCCTTTCTGACAATCAACCAACAAAAAAAATTTGGCTCAAACATGCGTGGTTTTGCTGTAATCCTGTGGTTTACCTAAGTAGTCTTGTATTGCGAAAAATAAAAGCTTATGAGTAGAAGGGACTGCTCATGATCTTTTCCTTTAGGGCTGATGTGATTATGTTGGTCATTTCTTGTTGGTCAGCATTTCATGCTTATTGCGTGTGCTTCTGACACTGAACTTTCATGAAGACATTATAACAGAATAGCATGACATGAAATCTTCAGATGTCTGTAGAAACCTCGTAAATCAGGCATGCCTTTGAACATTGATTACCATTACATTACCTTTTTTTTTTTTTTATTTAAACTGGTCAATACGGTTACTTCTCCAGCAGAAACGTCAATTCCGGAACAAAAAGCTGAAGACTGAGGCAGAAGCCTTTGCTCATTACCGCCAGACACACACAGCAAATGAACGCCGGCGACGTAATGAAATGAGAGATCTCTTTGAAAAGCTGAAGAAGACTCTGGGCTTACACAACCTTCCCAAGGTCTCCAAATCCTACATTCTCAAGCAAGTAAGTCTTTTGAAGCTTAAATGAGGAGAATCGTTTAGTCTGGACAGAGTAATTAATCTAGTATGAACTCTTTGAGTGAGTCTCAGTGATCCTGTCAATAGAGAACTTCTGTCACCTTTACAGGCCTCTCTAGAATAAAACAGTAACTGAAAGAATCTGTATTCCTAAAAGCTTCATCTTGATGACCCAAATGCATGTTTTCAGATTTGCCTTCTCCTTGTTGTATTCTCTGTGAATTTAACCATGGAGGGTTATGTTATGTCTTAATTCCTTAGCGGTTTACTGTGTTCAGTAAGATCAGGTAATTTTGAAACACATTGAAGACTTACTTTTTTTAATGCAGGAGAAGATAGCATTTCATTAAATATTATACTGGCATTAAAAACTTCATTGTAAAGATGTAAATGACAGGAAACAAAACATAAGTTGAAGATAAATAATTATGCTTACCTGCTGTACATCAAAATTGTGGGATAAAAGTTGTTTTCTTTTTTCTTTAAAATAGCTGAACTTTGGGGGAAAGATGAACAAGATGCTTATCACTTTTAAGCTTGCATTTAGGGAAAGCTGGCATTACATATGGTACTTCATATGCTTTCTCTGAGTTCTAGTTTCTCAAGATGATGAAAATGTCTAAATAAATTTTGTAAAGGCTTCTGGGAAGGAAAATTATTTTATAATTTTGCGTATCGTTGGTTTATAAATCAGTTCCCTGACACTTCTCTAGGCCTATGAAGAAATACAGGGATTGACTGATCAGGCAGATAAACTTATTGGACAGAAGAACTTACTGACACGCAAACAAGATGTTTTGATTCGGAAAGTATCCACGCTTTCAGGTGAGACTGTTTTTGCATACAGACTAACTGGAATAATGAAAGAAAAGGAGTGGAAGTGAGTGGAGTAGTCCTCTCTGGGTCATTAGTTTGCATAAAATTTAGACTCTTGATGCCAAACAAAGCCCTGCTGAGCTCTGACTCAGTGATACTGTCCTCATGCTGTTAAGAACCTCTTTTGTTTTTCTTTAAGCCTAAAGGAAGTGTTGAATGATCTCTGTGCTGCAAGCCACAGGTTGGGTTCCTGTGCATTAATGGGAAGGAAAAAAAGTCACTTCATTATGTCTTTGGTCACTGCCTGAGACAGCTTTTCTGCTTAGTGCTTCTCATGGATACACAGCTGAGACTGATCAGTACCAGAGCCTCTGGCTCCTTTGGTCAACTTTGCAAATAACAATCATCGTGCTGCTTTTCTGAGAACTAGTGTTAGTGGCGTAGAGATGAAGGCAGCCCTGTCTGTAGAATAAAACTGCTGTATATTCTGAGCTGCTGCTCATCCAGGCATTTTGGGACAAAACCGTGTTGTACTTATTGTGCCTTTCTGTGTCATTTGGAGGTGTAGGAAAGCTGTGACGCATGTTCAGCCAGTGCCAAAATGTGTGTGAACAAACAAAACATTAAATTATTCTTGTAATCTTCTTACTGTCTGGAAATAAAAGCAGGAGGCTACCCGAAAATTAAAAATGAAAGATACTTAAATATTGTGTACTTATGTGAATCAGTTCATGTATATTTGAGGTACTTGATTAAAAAAAAAAAAAACAAAACAACAAAACAACAAACAAAAAACAACCCCCAAACAAAATCGGAAATTACAAAGTGTTTTAGTGAACCCTCATCTTAATCCAGGAATGTATGATAGGCCTTTTGGACAGGGAATGAAAGCAAATAACTTCACAAAATAGTTTTCTAACCTTTTGCATTCCTAGTGAACTACCTCAAAACTGATGAGGAACAAATCCTCTCTCAGGAGTGTTAGTTAAATATAGACTTAATTAAAGATAGACCATGATGTTAGAACAAAAATATTAAGCAGGAAAGAAGCCAATATAGTTATTTCAACTTTGATCATATTAAATTATGTGCATCTACAGAAAACAAATTATTTATAAAATCGTTGTGTTTGTTCAAGGTTACAATTTTCATGTCAGTGGTTACACATGTGCGAGTTTGCCTCTCAATGTTGTTTGAGTAACAGGGTCCATTAGTCCAAGAAATTTAATACCAGGTAAATGTAACATTTTGTCTGGTAGTCATAAATTTATAATTAGGAGAGATGTGAGGTTTTATTCACAGCTGTGGATATTTTCCAAATGGTATTTGTTCAGCAAGAGCTAGTGCTTGTCCAAGCTGATTTCTGCTCATCAAAGCTGCAGATAAATTTTAAAATGTATGGATGTTTCTGAAGGAAAAAAAAATCTCAGAATAAGTAAGTAATGACTTCCCTCCGTTATTAAGTATGATACTTACTTAGTGGAGGTGGTGGTTATCTATTTTATAGTAGCTAAATGGTGTCAATTTAGTAGATTTTTAGTTCTGCTGTTTAGTTTTGGAAAGAGAGTTTGAAGATGGGTTGACTCTGATAATTTTTCTGCAGGGAAAACAGAAGAGGTGGTCCTGAAGAAGCTAGAATATATTTATGCCAAACAAAAAGCAGTAGAAGCACAGAAAAAGAAGAAACAAGCTGAGCCGGAGGAACTTGCTGTAACCTCAACTGCTAGCACACAGCAAGGAGGATCTTCTGCTCCTTCCAGAGAGCTGGCCCAGGTGGCTATGACAAACAGAAGAGGCAAGCCACTGATCCTCGCCAGAAAAGGAGTCCGTGCCACAGGTGGGTGGAAAGAGAGGCACGTATTGCCTAAAGGGGGGCCAGACATTGAAGCAGCACCCATAGGAGGGCAAGAGGCTAGCCCGCTGCTGCAGGCCCCTTCACTCTTGGAGCAGAACTGAGTATAGGACCTGGGAGTGTCCATCCAATAGGTGTGGGAACCATTTGTTTTCGGTAAGGGTGAGACCAGCGCTACTGAGGTCTTCAGATGAGCCTGACTTTTGAGTTTCAGAATGATGGGTCGTAAATTCCTATTAAGTTGGCCTTTGGTCTCATGGAGTGATTTCTGAGAGTCAAAGGTGGTTTCTGCTGACTCAGAACCTGAAGCTCAATCCCCAAAATACTGGAGTTGCTAGAACAGATTCAGGTTTTAACATATCCCTCCCCAAGCAAGCTAGATCTCAAGGTGGTGGAAGACTTGCTCTTAAATTAAATGACAGAATTGTCAGACACTTGAGAATTTTTGGAGCTGAGAACTTGGGCAGAAGTATTTGTTGTTTATGGAGACTTTCACACCATAAATGCAGGAAGGAACAAAAGACTGGCAGAAATCCAAACTTTCATGGTAGTGCCACTGTAATACTCTAAGTGATGTTTCTTATTTTGGTAATAATAAATAGACCTCACTTGAAGTGGTCTTGGGCTTTTATAAACAACTGATCGTTTTGGTTTCCCAGGCCTCATTTTTGTCCAGTCCTGGGCAAGTTTGAAATCAGAATTTGAATGTGGTGGGAGAACTTCCTTTCTTTCTTCGGCCTGAAAAGTCTCCTTTGTAATTTCAGCAAGACTGCTCTGATACTTGGTCAGGAGGCTGCTCTGGAGGGTCAGGATTGTTACACTGCACGTAGAGCTAGGACAGACTGGCGCTAGCTGTGTGGTTCCTGGAGCCTGCATAGCTTCCGTAGCCGCTTTCTACTCTAGTTTTGAAATCTAATCTAGTCTTGTAAACCTTCTAGCTGGAGTTCCTTCCACAACTGTACTTAATGCTGGATCGCAGGATATCATTTGCCATCAAGGGTGCTATGCCAGAATAAATTACTGATTTATATATTTCTTTTTTTAACAGAGGACACCTCATCCTCTCTTACACTAACTGCTGCGAGCCTCGTGATGACTCCGCAGGGGCAGGTGCTTACACTGAAGAGCCCGCTGGTGCCAGGGCAGGTAGCAGCAGTTCCTTCCACACTACTGCAAGCTGAATTAAAGCCTCGAGCTCTCAGTACCACCATGACAGCACAGCCAGGTATGAGCATGTGAGAACACATTAATGAAAATCAGTATAATGCTGTTCACAGATGTGCATGGCAGTTTACAAAGTAACATGTTATTTAACTTTTGCTTTAATTTTGGGGTTTTTTTTTTGAACTTAACTGACTGAGGTAGAACCTGACTCTGGTAAGAGATTTGATATAATTAACTCAAACTATCAGTTTATCAACAGGTAAGTACAAACTGTTAAATTTTCACTATTCCCAAATTAGATAAACATAGGAAGGATTTCTTAATCACTTAACCAATCTATATTTCTATTTTTACCAATTTCAGATGGTATTACAGTGCAAAGTCTCGCATAGAAGCTCAATACTCTTATTTTCCAGGCTTAACTGAGTATCTGAAAGGGTCTTGTTTCTACCTTCCCCTTTTCTTGGATAAGGTATTGCTTCTGTGATGATCCAGCTGCCAGGATCAACGGTTCCTGTCCAAGTAAAAGGAATCCTTACTAACTCTACCATTCCCATTACACTGTCAGCTGTAGCTGGAAACCTGCTGCCCTCAACAGTAGTATCGGCTACAGAGCCCCGCTCAGGTAGGCTCTTTGGTTTTCATGGATCTTTTTGCTTGCATGCAGGGAACATTATCCTTGCAAAAAGGTGAAGGCAAATTGTTTTCTCCCTAGGAAGTAACGATAGGTATTTTTGTGTGGGTATTCAAAGAAAATCACTATTTAAACGTTTTGAACAGCTTAGAGGGACCTCTAGGGGATCATAGGTGAGAGCTTCACCTCACTGAGCCTGCCCGCCCCCAGCAAAATCAGAGTAAGCTGGGACTGGAATGTGTCTGTGGTGTGATGCATCCCACTGGGGAAGCTGGAGTGCAAAGTGGTGGTGGGGCTGTAGAAAACCTTTCCCTGTTACATCCAGGCTGTTACTCTGGCACAAGCCCTGCCCATACCCTGCCAGCTCTGCTGCCTGCTGGAGAGAGGCGTTTCCAGACCCCGAGTACTGCACAGTGGGTCTGGGCACGGGGGGTTCCTGCCAGTAGCGTGCTGCTTGCTGCCTCTTGTGTTAAAAGCAAGCCACTCGCTTTCTGCTTCCTTGTAGGCATTTGGTCATAATGAAAAAGGAAAGCTTACTTCAGATTTGGGGCTGGGAAAAATCTGAGGGCTATAGATAGGAAACTGCTTGGGGGCAAAAAGTAAGTAATGGTGTAGTCCCTGAAATACCTGTAGTATTGTGCACAAAGCCAGTATTGCAAAACGTGAGCACGAAAGTAAAGCATGAAAAAAATGTAAGGGAGAAAACTGTCGTTCTGTTTTCCTTGTGCATCACCATCAGAATTGTAAGCGTTACAGTCACTTGCATTTGTGCCAGCCTGCTGAAGGAAGGGACTGGGCAAGTGGTTTTGGGATCACAGATGCGGAGCTTGCTCTTGTTCTACAAGTTGAAAGTTAAGCTATCAGTGCTTTAAGGCTTCACTTGACCAAAACTGTGCAAGCAGTTTAAATTGTGAATAGTAGTATCGCTGAGGAAGACCTGGAAGTGAGCAAATTATATTTAATTGGGAATTATCGTGCAGTTAGCATGGATCCTGATGGGTGCTGCTCTGTTTGGTTTTGCAGAAAGCGAAGATTCGTTCGTGATGCCAAAGATTGTTAATGTAACATCACTGGCTGCTGAAGGAAGCATGGGTCTAAACCTGAACAGAAACAAAAATTCTAATACAACACCAGCTGCAGGTACTCAGGCTCCTGAGAAATCCTTGGTTGTAGCACCCCTTGAAAGTAGGAAGAGTGATAGTACCCTTTCAGAGGAAAAAGCCAAACCATGTCCCGGAGACAGTGGCAGAGATGGAAGGAATACCACAGGTCCTACAAAAGTTTTCTTTGAAAACAAAGATGGCTTTCCACAGCTCCGGAACGTACCGTGTACCAAGGAACCTCCAGAGTCCTTCAGCAAAAAGCTCTGCCTTGGTGAGTTTGTAGGAAGCCAAGCTAGGAGGACAGTCAGTGATCCTGGAGGGGAAAGATTAAAATCGAAAGAATTGCCATTCCGCAAGCTGCAGATCAAAGATTCCAGGATAGAAATGGAACTGAGGAAAGTAGCATCTGCGATGGAGGAAGCCGAACTGGATGCGGGCGAGTTACTGAGCAGCATCGAGGACAGCGACGACACTGATGAAACCCTCACTTCGCTGCTCAATGAGATCGCCTTCCTCAATCAGCAGCTGAACGATGATGTTTCAGCTATGTCAGAACTGCCCAGCACTCTCAACTCGGATTTCTCTCATGAAGGTGCAGAAGCTCGTCGGGGAACAGGCGGTGATCTCGCCGCTGCAGACGCATCTTCCTTCCAGTTCGGCCATTTGGGAGGCAGTTTTAAGGATCTTTCCGAAGTTCCAGAGGGTGGTGGCTCTATAAGCCCTCTCCTGCTGCACTTGGAAGATGATGACCTTACTGACGGGGATAAGAACTCTGGGGAGCCTTCATCCGAAGCAGATGTTTTAAAGATAGTAATAGGTGCTGAGATGAAGGATCCGCTTCCCAGTCTGTCTGCAACCAGTGGTGGGAATGGCAAAACCGTAACAACCTTGGCAGAGACCGCTAGTGTGACTCCACCAGTTTTGCAGATGAAAACTAATCCAGAAGCTAGTAATGCTGACACTTTGTGGAGGCCCATGCCCAAGCTGGCACCACTTGGCTTAAAAGTGGCAAGTCTGCCAGCAGACTCAGAAGGGCAGAGTAACAAAGTGATGCCCTTATTGGCACCTGTAGTTGCAAAACTGGCACCCAGTGGGGTAAAAGCTTCATTACCTGCAACTGGTCAAGAAGGACAGGATAACAAAGTGATGCCCACTTTAGCACCTGTGGTTATGAAATTGAATACTACTGGGACCTTGCCTTCAAATTCAGCAGGAAAATAAATGCCTGTATTTTTTATCAAAGACTGGAATGAAGATCTGGAGCAGCGTGAACCAGTGTCAGAGTTCAGCAACCTCCCTTTGTCTGCATCACTTGTTTTCTGTACGGCATCAGCACTCTGTTCATCTGAGGGCAGGCCCCAAATTGAGAAATAAGTGCTATGAAACTTTAAGCATGTTGACATATTTTTACCTCACTATTGTATTCTGGGTGTTCTCCTTCCCCTTCACAAAACAAGGAAGATGTTCTATAACCATTGCTGGGCACATGGTATCCTTCCAAAATTGGGTCCTTCACAGAAATAGTTTGTCAAAGGACTGAGAAACCTAGGCTATTGAAAGAGATTTTTTTAAATTTTTTTTCCCTCCCCCCAAGTAGGGAGGCAGTTGTTTTGTTGGGGAAAAAAATCTGAATTACTTGTCTTTGTACCAGGCAAATTATCTATGCAGAAATGGGATTGTTCACATTTGCTGTTTTTAATGTTTGCGGAATAGGATGAATGTGCAGAAGTGAGATTGTGGTTACTCTCAAACTTGTGACCTAGAGCAGCAGAAGGGAAGTCTGAGACTCTGCAGAGGGCTGAAGTGAAAAGGTTTTGTTCTTTGGTGCTAGATAGTTCTCTTGCCGAGACTCTTTTTAGGAGCTTATGCACAGAAGATTTTAATAAACACCTGTAGTTCTCACTACATGGGGAAGAAAATTATATTTCCCAGTGTAATTAGAAATAGGACAGTATGTTAACTGTAATAAAAGTACTTTAAAAAAAAAAACAAAAAAAAACAAAAAAAAAAAACAAACAAAAACCCCTCACTTTTGCCTCCTGCCCCTATACAAATATACAAATACTCCCTGCTTTGATGCTTAGAGCATCTGGAAGGAAAAATTACAGAGAGTAGAAAGAAATTTGGGCACCCTATTGCTACATCTTTAAATACATTGCTGAAGTAGCTTGAGTGTTTTCCCAGTTGTTGTTTTCTTTCCTCCTGTCATTCTTTAAGATGTATGTGGTGGCTAGGAATGTTAATAGGAAGTGTTGCTTCATAAAAATACAGAAAGCTTTCAGGACTGTTGTAGCCAAGCATAAATGAGCGAGGTGTATATGTGAATGTATATATGAAAATATGTGTATATCTTTCCAAACTTTCAATTTCTTTATAAATTCAGGAAAGGTACTCAGAGGTTTCTCACTGCATTTGCACAAGCTGTGTATAGCAAAAAAAAGTCAACAAAAATGCTCATTACCAGGGAAATAGGGCAGTATTGAATCACAAGATGTATTTTTTATTCTTCTCTGCCACTACTTACTCAATAAACCTGTAGATACTCTTCACTGTTCAGCTGTTGGATGTGAAGGGCCTACAGGCTGTAAAGATATTTATATTTTTGTACACAATTTTTGTTTTCGTAGTTTTCTTGACAAATGAAATTTTCAGCCTAGGAGAGATGATTTGTTAATGAGTGTATACGCAATCTTTTCCTGTCAAGTTTGTAAACATGAGTTATGGTGCGCTTGAGGGGCTTCTTGACTGCTCCGAAAAGGTAAAAAAAAAAACAAAAACAAAAACCAAAAACATTGCCATGAAAATGATACAGATTTTGGTGGCGCATTTTGCTTTATGTTTAGAAATGTAATCCTCTGTCTTACTGTTCCAGCAACAGCAGATGGGATTCTCCCCCCCCGCCCCCAGACTTCCCCATCCTTGGTGATGCAGTAGTGCAGGAATTTCATCTTTCCCAGCAGCGAGGTGGAGCAGGTGTCGAGGGTGCTGTTGTTCCGCAGTTGGGGAGCAGCGTTTGCGCACAGCGCAGCCACGCGCCCTGCTCAGTCAGCTGCACTTCCTGGACCTGCGCCTCGCTCAGCCCCCCCGGGCACGCATGTGCCTCGGGTGTTTCCTCACCTTTTTTACAATTTTATATTACGCTGCAGAGGAGAGAAGCCCTTCAAGCTCGGTATGCGTAAAGTTACTCCAGAGCCTACATAAAAAAAGGTTCTTCACCTGGCTATTCTAAACGGTGTGGTTTAAGGCAGTTAGGTATGAGTCTTTATTGCTTTTTGCATATTTGGTCTTTTAATATTTGATACAAGTCCTGGTGATTTGGAAGAGAAAGTAGAGATCAGCATGAGAATCATGCAGGGTCTTGCAGTTGCCACTGAATGCCTTAGAAAAGGGAATTTACAGTGTCAATAAGTATTTAGACATACGTTGCTTATTATTAAAGCATTTTAACCTTATTTTAAACCAGTGGAAATATGGAGTAACTGAATTAGTTTAGTAGCACTACATCAGACTTCAGTTTTTTTACCTGGGAATCTGGTTCTGAGCATTTCTAATAGGCTGAGGTTGCTTATTTTTTTACTGATGGCAGTTTGTTTCGCCAGTAGATTTCATTCCTCCTGTATGTGAAACAGCAACCAGAACTGTGCCGTGATTCCTTTCAGATTCCTAATCACTGACGTTTCTTTCTGCACCTTATCATTTTATGGTTCAAAATGTCTAATTTTAGAGTTGTGTGCTCATCGTATCTGAATACTTTTTAAAAGTATGTGTGCTTTGCACACTTTGATGGGACGGAGAAAGCTGTAATATGAAAACCATTCAAATATTATCTAAAATAAATGCTGTAGTTCTGAGGATGTTTTGTCCATTATCAAGGTAATGGAAAATGCCTGGATGTATTTACTGTTTGGCACTGGGCAGTAAGGAATGTTACTGCAATAAAAACGTACTGTGTAAAGATGACAGCAAAAATTTTCAGTTCCTGAACATGAGTGCTAAATTAACTAAGAACAGACCCCAAATTTGGCTGCAAAAGGTGGTAGTTGGTGCAGTTCCGAGAAGGATCTATGATGGGTTCTACCAGGCAACAAAGCATGTTCGAAATGCTCTTGGTTTTTGCTCTCCTTGTTGCACTGTCTCATGTCTGCAGCTTAATATTTTGCCATGAATTTAAATGCCGACTCGTCTTTTTTCTTGCTCTTCCCTCAAGCTCCCATTGGTTTGGAATAAACCTTTTAGAAGTTACATATGCTGTCTTTTGAGGCAATAATGCAAGCATATGACACGTAATGAAAAGGTTTTAGAATCGGGAGAACAGAGGAAACCCCTGCAAGGCGCACGTTCTCACTAGACCAAGAGACCTGGAGATTTTCTTTGTTTTTTACACATCTGTAAATAGACTGGAATGTTTTTAAGAATATAATGAAATGTCAGATTTAGCTTTTTTCCTTTTATATATTAAAATATATCTTTCCCTCTTTTCTGCTTTTGAAAAATTGATATTTTTGTAGAAATCTAACAGTACAGGACTCTGAAATAACTGTATGTGAGGGACAAAGTGTAAAACTAAAATAAATCAATTGAGGTCGACTAGAAACTGGCTTTGAAAGTTTATTGTCGCAGGGAGGGAGAGGGAGCAGAAATGATGCGGTGGCGTGCCACTGGTGACACGTGGCGTTGGACCTGAGCACATCACACACGCTCTGAGGCAGAAGTTTTGGCAACACAGACACCTGGGGTTTGGTTCAAGTAATCGGGCAACTCGGAGGAGATGTCTCTCTTCAGTCCCGAGCAGTATGCTGGAAATGTTATTGATTATAAAAAGGGATTCTGACTTGCTAAATGCAGAAAAGGTACCGAAGGGCCTTGATTCTCCCCAGAATGCATCTTAAGCAGGAAGTCAATGGGGTTAACATTTGGTCATGGCATAAAAAGAAGAAGAAAAAAAAAAAAAAAAAAAAAAACAAGAGTTAAAGATTAAGTCCGCATAAAACCACTCTCCAGTCTCCTTCCCCCAACCCCAAATGTAGGGTAATCCATTGTATCTGTTTCCTTCAGGGAAGCTGTACAGCCCAGCTGTCCTCAGGGGAACAAGTCTGAAGCTCTGTCCCCAAGTGATGTGGCAGAGGAGATGCTTTTTTAGAAGAAACAGATAAAATGCCTGTAATGAGCGACTGTCTATTGCTTCCATACCCCTTAAATGGAAGATAACACACTTGCTAAAGGTGTGGGGTTGTTTTTGTTTGTTTATTTGTTTTAAAAAGTAAATGTCTACAAATGAGCAAGTTTGACTTACAGGCCTGAGGAAAGAAAATACAATGAAGAGAACAATTAGGCATGAGGGTAAGTGATGGACCGGAGAAGAGATGTTGCAGATTTTTTTTCTCTCAAAAAGGAAGATCAGATCTCACAGGAGAGAATGAATAGAAATGGGTGATACAGTCAGGTAATGTATTTTTGAAAACTTCTGATGAAACCCTTCAGCGAGGCCTCATCCCATGACTCCTTATTTCAAGGGGTAAAGTTACTTACTGGAGTAGAAAGGACCATGAGCTGTGTCCAGCCAGACTTGCAATGGAAAGGACTTACCGATCAATAGAATCCCGTGATGATCTGTGCCGGGGACCTGTGTTTCCCAGCACGTGCATTGTGTTCTTGGAAGCACAGCTGATGGTACAAACAAGCTCAGTTGAGCCTGAAACGTTACAGGAAGCCTTTGCGCTACCTGATAGGTGGCCAGATTTGAGTCCGTAAATGCAGCCCAAAAATGGGTGGAGGACCAGTTTGTCCATAATTAGCAACGAATGGAATCTAAATTAATTACTGTCGTTTGGGATCACGGTGGTGAAGGAATTGTGGCGCTACCTGTGATCACTTAAGCTCAGCACATCATCCGTTTGCCCTTTTAACTGATGCTACAGACCGAGGAGGCGGTGTTACACCGCTCTCTGCGTGGTTACTCCTCTGCGTTGCAATTTTGTGTTGCCTCAGCTGCACCTGTGCCTGTCCTGGGCCTCGTGGGAGTTGGAGGCCCGTGGCAGGTGACAACTCTTGTGGAGATGTCCCTCCCTTCTTCATTTTGAATTCTACCCCTGGAAAGATTAGGGGGGGCTCCATTTGACTTGAGAGTCTTTCCTGAGAGGGCCCAGCTCGGAGGAGGAGACAGGCTTTTCTGCGTATTTTTTGGCTTTTCTCCTCCCCACCGGCCTCGGGGCCGCTGTAGTTCCCCCGTCCGACACGGAGGGGTGCCCCTCGCCAGCGCCGCAGCGCGCCGCACCTTGGGGGCTAAAGCCAGGCAATTAAATAGCAGCTAAAAAAAGATAGGCAGACATAAACCGTATGCCATTTTTAGTGGCTTTCAGTTGTGATTAACTCCTTAGACAACAGCTGTATGAAACGACACGCCCGGCTCCTCAGCTCTTCCTGCCAAGCCGGGGGGGCCTGAGGGGCTGCTGGCCACCGGCACGCGGCGAAATCCGGGAGGCGTGCGGCTCTGCCTCCGTTTCTTCAGTGCACGGGGCTGCACGGGCACAAAGCTTTTGGGCACGGTCTGTAGGCTGGCGTGGGTCTGCACAGCTTATATTAGCAACGGGCTCCAGCTGCAGCTGAGCCCTGCAAGGATATAAAATACCCCACGCCACTGGGGGACCTGGAAACGGGACTTTGGATCCCTGGGCCTTGGGGTTCAGTCATCTGTGACTGCTATTAGAAAAAGATGTAAAATATCCCCAGTGTTATCACCAACCAGCTTTAAAAAAGCTGTGCTGGATCCAGTCTACATAAAAAAAACAAATGGGGGGGTGTGAATGCACGACAAAAGCTCACTGGTTTCTGGAGTAGCACAATGTGTTTTCAGCTCACAGGGCCTGGGGTGACCCATGACCCCTGCTCCTCCCCTGCACCTTCTGCAGTGTCAAAATATGATCGAGACTTGTTTGATTTTTAGCTACTGGATTGGTCTGATGAGCAAGAAGTCCACGAGCAGGACAGGAAGAACTATACAGCTGTTTTTAGGACGGCGCGCTGCTGTTCCTCCGAAGGACTGAGAAGGGCTGTGGCAGCTGCAGGTGCTGCTGGAGCTGCCGGTTCCAGGCCTGGCCAGGGTTTCCTGCAGCGGTAAGAGGAGACGGGTGGGTCTGTGCTGGAGGTGACAGGGTAGTTTGGCAGCAGCCACTGGGGAAGCTGCCGCCAGCTTTTGCACCGCCTGTCCCTTGGCCTGTCCCTTGCTGCCTCGGCGGCGCCCCGCGTGCGGGAGCCGCACGGGCTGCCCATGGCCGGAGGGGCAGGGGCTCCCCCTTCTCCCCAGCTTCCCCCCGTCCTTCTGCCTGCTGGGGCCTGGATCTTTGTGTCCCCCTGCATCACCAAAAGGGGCTCAGCCCCTGCTGCCTCCTCTGCTCCTCCCTGGCCTGCCATGATACACACACCCCGGCGCCTCAAAGCCCAAGCCCGTGGCTATGTTCACCTTCTGGCTCAAAGACAACTGCAAAGCAAATGCTGGGGTTTCCCTTCTTCTGAGAGCAAGGCTGGGGCAGCCTCCCGGAGCCCTGCTGGTCCCAGCGAGTGGAGCTCCAGTTAATCCAGTAAATTCTGAACAGCAGGCACGTAGCACCAGCCTCCTCTGTATTCTCTATCTATCCAGCTAAATCCTGGTTTCCTTCAGGTGCCACCTATCGTGCCTAATCCTGCGGCCAGCACACGCACACCTCGCGTCCCTCCGGTCGCGTCTGCGCAGTCAGAGCTCAGCCGGGCAGCAGTTTTGTGGTGAGTCCTCTGCTCCCTTCTGCTTCCCCCCGGCTCACCCTGCCCTCGGCGTGACCCAGGGCTTGCCAGTCGCGCTCTTTTATTCATACAACCTCTTCCACCCTGAGGTGTCCTCAAACCACGATAACATTTTTGAAGGGATCCTGCAATTCCTTGCTGAGTTGTTCTTTACCTGAGGGAAAAATCCCAACGGTGACCAAGTATCTGTTTTCTTTTGATATCAAATGAAGCCCGGAGCTGTTAAAAGCAGCTAAGACGCTTCTTCCTGCAGGAGCTGCTTGTGGCTTGGTGTAGAAGAAGCTGTGCTGTCCTCAGCCGTGAGCCCTTGGCCCTTTCTGCACGGAGGCAGAGCTCCCCCTTAGCCCTCTCCGTCCCTGCCTCAGCCCGAGGCGCTGGCAGGCGCTGAGCTCTGAAAATGTGTTCGCTAATGCCACGCGTTATTTCTGAGACGTGCTGGACCTGGACGTTCCCATAAAACAATGTCAGGCGGCTGGAGGAAAGTGTGATTCGATAAAGCGTCGCCGTCCCTCTGGGGCCTGGCTGGAGCCACGTTCTGTACGCTCGGCCTTGTAAAAGGCAGCGGGGCCGGGACGAGGCGGGTGGGAGGCTGGTGGGGAGCCCCCACGGCAGGGGCCCCTCGGACACAGGGTTGGGGGCAGCTGCTGGCCTGGCCGGGCATCGCGGGGTTTGGGGTGGGTGGGAGGCGGTGGTGGGGCCCGCTGAGGGCCTGCGACAGGTTGTGGGGCTGGAGAAATCCGTACCGGCCAAGCTTCAGCAAAGTTCAAACATACAGGAGCGTTTCCAGGTACGAGGTGGATAACACAGCAGATAGGATTTTCCTGCTCTGGTTATCTCAATTTTTTTTTTTTTTTAATGATGCAGATCTGGTGTGATCGTGTTATAACTTGTGTTAAGGTGACTGGCTGCAAAAGCATGACAGAAAAAGGAGGTGCCTGCAAATCGTTGCAACAGTAATGATTAACTCCTGCTCCTCAACCGGTGCTCTCACTTCTAGCTACAATGACTCTTTGGTTTTAAAAAATGGCTCAAGCAGACTCGCAGCTCATGACCGCTTTGCAAAGCTTTAAATTTGCTTCCTCAGCTTTTGAATGTCCGTGGCAAAAAAACCATATAAGTCTTCCTGCAGAATCTCACCCCGCAAATGTTTTGTGACTCTGACATACGGGGCAATCAACTTGAATGGGGAGGCTTAGTCTGCAGGAAGAAATTTTAATAAACGGCTCCCACCAGGCAAACTGAACTGATGGCAGCCACAGTGGGAATTGTTTACTACTGTGCTCCGGCGTAGACAAGGCCTCATTGTCTGGCTCTGACGGGGAAAATGTCCAGTTTCACAAACTTTGCTGAGCAAGGGAGAAAATAATTATATTGCAGATCAGCTTACAAGGGACACATTCATGTTTGAAGGAAAACTTGATTTTCGCAGGGCGAGGAAGAGAGGCACAACTGCCAAAGGGAAAAGCCAGCGGCTCTGGTGACCTACTAAAATTGCCTCGAGCCAGAAGTTATTCCTGGCTGAAGGTGGGTCCCGGGGGGCCGGATCCTTGGCTCTGGCAGGGAGGCAGGCAGCGCACCAGCGGAAAGACGCCGGGAAACAGGGCGCTCCTCCGCCGGCGGAGCCCTCGCCGGGGCCGCGGCTGCCTCGTGCCCGGGCCCCGACACCCTCCTGTTTCTCCAAGCTCCCCGAGAGGGGTTTGCCAGGGCAGAAGCGGTGCCGTCAGGCTCGCGTGGCCCCGTCCTCCGCCTGCCGCCGCGGGCTCCCCGCTGCCGCTCGCCGGGGGGGGGGGACGCGGCGCCCCGGGAGCGCCGCTGCCT